ACTGGATAAATGTGTACGGGCGTTGTTGATACTTCTCTTTTGTCCTCAGCGGGACACTAGGCAGGCGGAGAAAGTGAAGCTACTCGTGTAACCAACAAAGGAATTTTACCCTTGTCCCTTACCTAAGAATATCTCTAAGACTGAAAACGACAGCTGGGTCGATTTGAGTGAGACAGTGCATCCATGTGTGTGTGAGATTGTCTCCAGTGACCCTGATGTAAGTCCTGCAAACCTCCAAAATGGAAAAGGCAATTGCACGCCTCTATCGACCGTCTCTTTTTTTCTATCCTTTCCCTGCACACCTCCTCTCATCGTTTTCTATCTATCCACGCATGCTATCATCTTAAAATCTGTATTTCCTTATTCCCATTCATTCTTTAAAAACCCATCCACCCATGGGTCAGCGATCATTAACATGCCATGAGAATTTTTCTGTCTTTTCAGTCGCCTGTTTTGCTTCCTTCTCAGGGAATCCAGAAGCAACTCCACTGGGACGAGGGGTGAAAATGACCCTCTTTTCACCCTTTTTTGTGGTAACTAGGAAATACGCTGAACCGAAAGCCCCGCACTTACGGCACTGGAGTGAATCTGATTTGATTCCATGTCGCCTCTACCTGCTTTAAGGTTTCTTTGAAGTCTGTGGTCCCACTCATGAGGGTGCCACATGAGTAGTTCAGGCTTATGCTGAGCTGTCCTTCACAAACATTTTCCCCCCCTCAAACTGATCCCCGACCAACTTTAAAAATCACCAGATAGAACCAGATAGATCCATCTACCCTCTTGCAGATTACAGACTATAAATAGCATGTTTTATCTTTCATCTCCCTGTGATGTAACAGCATATAACCATGAAAGCCGTTTCCAGTTCCTCCACGCTTTTTTGTTCTGGCAGAGAGAAGCATTTACCTATTAGGTCATTGTCATGTGACCTTTTGATCTTTCATCTGTGTCGCTTTGTGAGTTCTCGTTTTTTTCCCAAACATTTTTAGCCTTTATTGATCACACCTCCACCCACAGGTACTGCGAGTCAGGATTGTGTCCATCATGGAAACCACGAAACCTGCGACTGAAGTCGCCATGCTTTGATCAGTCACATACAGACAGTCTCCCAGAGCTGAACTTGCCACTTTATAGTCACCTATTTCAGTAATAGTTGAAAGAAAGATTTGCTCCAAGAGAAAGCCAGCCACGAAGTAGATTCATCTATTCACTGGTGGTGAAAAAGGATGCACAGACAAACCTCCAACTATCAATATTAATCATTTACAATATTTTAAGTGGCTTTACCTTTATTGATTAAAAATGCCCCAATGTCACACAATAGAAAAGCAAGTGATCAATATCTCAACAGCACGGGCTCGTCTGCTTCTTAAGTGTAGCTTCTTAAGACAGTAGGATGGACAGGAGCAGAAGAGGATGAGGTGAATGGGTACTGTAATAAAGCAGAGTTTGTATTATACTTCTCCACCCTTGATGTTTGTGAAGTTCCATCGAGCCTCCTTGTACAGAGCCTCAAAAAGCTGGTTAAATGAACTAAGAAATGTTTGTCTATGCAGAAAGCAAAAGCTTCAGACAAAAGACAGACAAAAGCTGACACTTCCTCTGGTGAGGTGAGGCAGATGTCAGGAGCAGTAAATGATTTCAAATGTGAACCGTTTTTACAGAAACAGATAAAACACAAAATCATTCAGACTCGATGTGTCATGGAACTATGACAACAAACCACGGCAACGTAGCATGAACAGACATTGTCTTCAGGCAAATGCTCCACTTTCTTTTATAAAGAATTAATTATCCTTGACAGATGAGGGAAAATGTCCAGAGGTGGACTAACGGAGGAGAAAGAATTAGTGTGGACACCGATGCAGGTAAACAGGCTGAATAGAAGAAGGGTCAAACACGAAAGAGGCAACGGGATGCAGCGAGAGGATAAATCAATACAATTTCTTTGCTAAATCTTTTGAATGCTAATTTGGTTTCGGCTCTTGGAGTGACTTTTCAATTGAGCGTGGGCCTTCTATGTGTCTGAGGGTGTTTGTGCGGGGATTACACACAGTAATCTCCTCTCCAATGTACCACTGTGATGGAGATGTTTTTCAGTGCCACAGAGGTGCAGATGCATACATACACACAGAGAAAACACATTATGAAGTGTGAGTCAGCACTTGTGTCGCCCACCGACAGACATGGGGGGAGCGTACAGAGCTTGTCCCTTTAGATTGATCGTCAGACAGAGAATACAGGAAAAAATATTTGTTTGTCTGTTTGTTTGTTTGTTTTTTTTGGCCCATTTAGCCTTCACCCTGTATTGCATGTAAGTGGTAAATAGCTTTGAGGAGTGTGGAAGGGTTGGAGGGTCAGGCTGACAGCTAATTGGCAACAAAAGTGACCACCAATTTCTTTTCACTGCTCACCGGTCAGAGTGTCATCCTTTCTCCCCTACAAATCTTTCAGCATTTAAAACATTTATTGAGAGGTGGCTGTGACGTGAAGGGAAAAGAGGAGAGGGGCAGCAAACCTGGGGAAGGAGCCGAAAGCATGACTATGTTGTTTTTGGATTTTGTCCACCGACTCTGCTGGGCACTTGCAATAACTCTCCCCTATCATGTCGGTGAGTCCCGCTGAGGAAGCCTGATCCAGCCGTAGATCATGATGTCAGGCGAATTAGATGACTGGCTGAGTATGTTGTCTGGAAACAAGAAGTCATTCAGTACAGCTTCATTCTGAGCCTTTGTGTCCTTTAAGGACCACCTGGGATGTGTCTGGCACAAAGCGCTGAAGTACTGACAGACGGGATTAGTTGCTGAGTGAGGTCTTGAACACTTGCTTTCAGAGAGCCACTTTGAAACAATGGAACACTTTGGTTTTACCGCTCATTTTTGTAAACATATGAGCAGTGACGGCCTTTTTTATGGACTCAAAAATGAGGAGAGGTGGATGTTTGAGCCACCTGCGTCGCACATTGGCACAAAGCAAAACTACAATATTTAAAACAGCAGCAGGGAAGAAGCTGTGTTGCAGGTGCAATTTTCTCAGATTCCTCCCAACAAACTACCTGTTATTTACTCTGGTCATCACATAACGAGCAGCTGGGTGGTTACCCAGCTTTCCAACGCCGCAAAGTACATTTTATGACAAACCAAACAGGCATTAGCGGGTTAGCCTGTTGCTGGAGTTCGTCTGAAAGCCATTAATGGAAGGCGCATTCAAAATCCATCACTGTAGTGAAGATAAATGCAATCCCAACACACAGATGCATGTCTGTCTCAATAGATGGGTACGTCAGTGTGGGGGAGATAGAAAAAAATAGCCGTCTGAGGCAGGAGAGAAGCAGGGAACTTTCTGTCCATGATTACATAGTTCCTTTTATCCAAGGGGAGCTGATTCTCAATCATAAAACAAGGTTTTCTGTCAGATTCGCCCATCTGATCATCACTGAGAAGCCTCGATCTGCAGTGATGTCGAGTGAGAACAGGAGGGCAGCTTAACTCTGGGCTTATAACTGATTTAAGAACCATTTCCCACCACCGCTCCGCCAATAAGAAGTCCATCTGCTGTGATTTACAAGAAAAGTTGATTAGCAGAGCAATCTCCCCCCGTTTTCTGTTATTGTTCCTGCTCTTTCCCCACTTCCATCTTGAATTTAAATGACCTGCGTTTATGAAACTGTTGTCACATAACTCTGCCTCCCTCTCGTGACTCATCACTCAGTGAGTGTGTGTGGGTGTGGCTGTGTGTTAACACATGCGTGTGGGAGCACAAGTATGCCTGCAAACTAAATGGGTCTAAGGAAGCGTGAAGGAAAATATCTGTGACTTGAGTTTTGGCCAGGGAACGTGGGGAAAAGTGGGGGTTGTGAGCCAGTACCTGCAGCTCCAACAGCTAATGCTAACACTCGCTAACAACCCTGGGGACCCTGAGGGAACACAAGGACAGAGAGGTCAGACAGCTGGGCTCTGTGCCCACACCTGAGTCACCTGTCCAGAGGAAGCTGTGAGCCTGGAGCAAGGGTGAATCGGGTGTGGAGCCCAAAATCCACAAAAACAAGAAGAAAGACAAAGCACCACAACACATCATCACTACTTTAGGGCTGCTTCTAAATTGAGTTTTAGTTGAGCACATTCAAAGACACACATGCACACACACACACACACACACACACAAAGCCAGAGCCAACGCCATACTAATGAGAGTAGGAGGACACTCCTCTGGAGAGAGGTAGGACTTTCTGCCAATTCTTAGATGGTGATTTCATGTAGACAAGCAGAGCCACCAGGGCTCCTCTTTCAGCCTCAGTATAAATGAAACAGGCATGTCACTCAGCAGTGGACTAGTTCTGATGAAAACATGCCGACAATTGAGCAAGGAGCGCGGGCCGGAGGCCAGTAAAAAGGACTGATGAAGATTTTACGGGGATTTATTGAACCCCTTATTAACATTGAGGGTCAACCAAATGTTGCTGTTGCAAAAACATCTGCATAAAAGCTAAACCAGTAACGTTCAGTCCACAGAAAGGATAATACAACGACTTCTCCAAACCCATGTCTTTCTCTTGAAGTGATTAGAATGGCATTAAATATATCATTTTGTCAAAAAAGAAGGGCCAGCAAGACTTGATACCCTTTCAGCACGGGCTGTTTTAGGAGCAGCCTGTCCAAAGACATAAAGAAGGGACAGACCCAAGTGGATGAGCCTGTTGCAAATTCATCATCAGGAAGTGAGTGTTCCAGTCTGGCAGTCTGTGAGCACTACAGGGATGTAGGACTACCTTGGCATTACTGATCCCCCAAGGGGGAAGGCCAAATGCAGTAGGAGTGACTGATGTGACCCGGGGGGATGTAATTGGGCTCCATTCAGGATGCTGAATGGAGCCCAGGGAGCAACTCAACTGAATTAGTGCTGAGTATCCTTTTAGAGTGCCTGTGTTGGGCCACAAGTACAATGATATTTTACTTCATTTTGACCACAAGTGGTAATTTAGAGGTTGAAAATGACTGTACTTTTGATGTCGTTCCAGTACTGTTTTTTGTCCCATCTCATCATTCCCTTTCATGTTTTTATTTCTGTACAGGCACTGGAGAGGTAAAGAAAAACAAATAAAAAGAGTAGATTTTACACAGGATCACATATTTTTAGAAATAATGCAGTAACCGGCTGAAAAGCAAATAAACAGAGTGAAAAAGTGGAACACGAAAAGAGAAAATAATTTAAGGATGGATTAAACTGAGCCACATTTGCTGAGGCTTTGCTAAATCTGTAAAGTAATCCTTAACTCCACTGCAATAGCCCCTTCTTTTTTTTTTTTTTTTCTGCCCACAGCACAGTCAGATCTCAACAGCTGGTCCCCTCTGCCCTCAGCCTGACAGCCCATTGGCATTGTGCAGCCCAGCAGAGACAGCAATAACATTCAGTGATGATCAACGGGGATACAAAACGGCACCAAGTGCTGCGCACATCAGCGGCCACTTTCTCCAAGCTACAATCGAGACAACGGAAAAAAGCTACAAACGGCACACACTGTTGGTCTCTGGTTGTTTTTTCATTCAACGCTGTGTGATACCAACACTAAAATAAAGACTTCAAAATAACAGATTCATTTAAAAGGTTTAATTAAGAGGGTTAATTGTTAGAAAACATCCACCACTGAGCAAGTTTCCTTCCATTATTTGACAAACACATTGAATTTCTATAGCATATCCTACAGATGCTTTTTAACTAAAAATGAAAAAATAAAACAGCATAAAATCCACTTCACAATCTATGACAAAGTCTCTTCCCTCTTCTACCCCGAAGAAAAAAAGTTCAACTTCATATCTGACAGCACCCAAACAGAGATATAATGTGCTCTCACAAACATGCCACAGCAGGGATGCACAGACTCAATTATTTCGTGCTGTGCGGAAGCCTTCCAAGAAGTCCTCCAGTCAGTAATGTGAAAATGCACAAAAAACTAAACTAAACAAAAAACCCATTCTGGAGGTGACAGAGCCCCACAACGTCAGCTCCACAAAAAATGCCAAAACAACCCAATGGGTTGTGAATCCATGAATAAAGAAGCACCGGAAGAAGGATAAACTCCTGCTTTGTGGTGATAAGGACATTTACACAGAAAAAAAACATACATATTTATATGTGTGATTTGGAACAGTAATAATAGTCTCAAACGCAACAAGAAAGCCTCAAACTCACTCTTAGTCAGGTATGATCATTTAACTTTTTGAAGTTAAATTACCAAAGTTTCAAAGAAAATCCAAACGCTTTAAACAGGCTCAATTCACATGTCACTTCAATCCAAGTAATAAAAAAAAAAAAAAGACAAATTTCTAAAGAAGATTAACAAAAAAAAGACAAACATGAACTCTCCAGTGGCTCTCTCCACATACCTTGCAGAGTTTCTGGTATCGCGGCGAGGAGATGGCCATCCTCTGGAGCCTGTGTAAGAAGACCACCACTTTCTGGAGGGAGGTCCGGACCATGGCCATCATCTTAAGACTGCTACAAGTCTGCAGCAGCCTGCTCCCGGTCCGCATGCTAGCACTGCCCTACCCCGCTCATATTGTTCTCCCTCTCCCTCTCCCTAGCCAACCGACCAGACCCCGGCTAAGCTGACGTGATGCGCACACACTCTTACACACATGTAGAGAAAGAGAGAAAGAGAGGAAAACAGACTCACAAGCCCACTCAGATCAGCATGCCCCCTCGCTTTGTCACACACACACACACACACACAGCCCAGCTTTGCTTTCTTTCTCCCTCTTTCCAAACAGTCCCTCTAACACATCCCTCAGCATGCACTCCCACTCGCACACATGATGCTGGCGAGGCGGGCAGGACGAGACACTCACTTTCTCCTCCACGCGGACATTCACACGCGCACCCCGGCCGCAGAGCCAGAAGAGAATTAAACAAATCACTTGTGACGGTGCCCCCGCAGAGTCGGACGAGAGCGACGGGGAAGAGTGAAATGAAGACAAAGAAGAAATAAAACACTGCCAGAAGAGTGCAAAGTGCCGGCCAGCCGAGAGGAGAGGACAGGAGAGTGAACGGGAGAGTTACACTGGGAGAGGAGAGGGAGCGCGTTTGTGCGACGCTGACTTTTTACTGCCTCTGATCCAGAGAGAAGAAGAGATGGAAGGAGTGAGAGAAACGGAGACGGAAAGATGAAATGCAGCAGCATGGGGGAAGGCAAACAATCATCCTGCCATGATGAGAGGATGACATTACGCCAGGCAACAGACAGATCAATGTGCAAAAGACAGACAAAGGAAGAGAGAAAGAGGGGGGGGGGACTGAGCAATAACAAATGAGATGCACACGCACACACACACAATAGAGGGAGGGCTTATTTCTGGAGTCCTGGGTTCCTGGAAGTACAATTTCTATTCATGCTTTTCACTGGCAGTCTTAGCTGGAGCTCATCCATGACTTGGATAAACATGAAACCTGCTTGAAAATGTCCAGTCAAAAATGTATCCTTCAGACTTGGGTAAAAACTTACGTGAAGATATGCAGAAATATGTCAAAGCAGCCTTGTTGTTGGCTTGTAGATCACGGACATAAATGCAATGTCAGCTCTATAGTCAGATCTGTAGTTTGTCATTCAGGTGCTGTGAAAAGAATGGACCTGACTGAGGGCACAACACTGTGCACGTTCACCGGGGATTGGAATTAAACAAAGCTGTTCTGCCCTCAGCTCTGCCCTCATTATGCAGGAAATTAAAGAGGGGAGGTACATATCATTTCAGCCCCTACGTCTTGAAAGGATTAATTAGCTATGAAGAACAATAATATTTCACTTGTAAGCTGAGAAATTCACTCATACTGTAAAAATGGCCATTTCAACAGGTGTTTATTGGGATTGATTTTACTCTTTTGAGAACTGCCTCAGGTGGCCATTTGAGGAACTCCAGTTTGGATCACATATCTAGAGAGAGCCCATTTCAAACAAATTGCCTTAACCTGGCCAATATATTCACAAAAAGCGATGACAACACTCAAAGGATTATTCAAAGGTGAATTGATTTGTCCAGACAGACAACTCCTAATTTTTAACACTGCTGTCTGTGTCTTAGGAAGAAATACACAGCATTTAAATTGTGTGCCAAGTTTGTGGTTTCCATTAACGCAGACTTGTCTCAGACTTGACTAAAAAAAGACACAGAGTCAGAAAAAACGTGGAAAAAACAGAGCAAGAGGAGAGAAGATATGAGAGCCAAGTCCAGGGAATACAGAACGCTTTTAGGCATTTTTCTTTGCAACAAAAAAAAACATTGCAAAAAAAGTGCAGCAGATGTAGAAGTACCCAAAGATAAAGACCACTAAAAATGACAACAGAGGAACACTACATCTCAACAAAAGACTTCCTAAGAACCATGTGATGAATGTTTTGCAGCCAAACAAACACAATTAGGGATATATCCATCACTCTGAGCCAAACACGCACGTTTAGCTCTGTTGGTGTGCTCCGTTAGTCTTTTCTAATCCAAGCCATTTCCACAGCACCTTTCCAAATGCCCGTGTGTGGGTGTTTGTGATAAGGTGGCTTTCTGTGTACCGGCTCCAGCGTCACAGTACAACTTTAAAAACCATGAAATTATAGAAAATGAGCTCACATTTCTGTTATCATTCAGGCTTTGGTAATTATCCCTTTGATGTTCCAAGCTGTGGTGGACAGTCGGACTGTTGATGTACATAACAGCATCGGATGTAAGAAGAGAGGAAAGAAGGGGGCTACTCCCACTATTCTGCATATTACAGGGGGGAACTCTAAATAAAGCAAGATTCTTATCAAACTAAAAATGCAGCAAGGTTATTTTCTTAAAAAAAGCCTCTTGTTAAATCTCAAAGTGACATTAAAGATAAAATGTCAATCTGAGTGAAAATCCAGCTGGTCAGATTTTCCATTTTTTTGGCGGGGGGGGATTTTCTGTTAATGTGCAGCATGAAAACAAAACTCGACATTACACCAGTGGATGACGCTTGCGGTTGAAATCTGTTAAAAAGTTTGAAGTAATAAATGTAGTGGCACTTGTAATTAGTATTCTATAAACACACTCTAAACAGAGGCAGACACACACGTGACCTGAAGGATGAATAATGGACATTGATGATGTTTGTCCTTAAAACGTTTCACAACCCTCAGTACAACAAATAGATCAGAGTAATGGGTGGTTCAAGGATGATTCTCAAGATTCATAAAAAAAACTGTATTACACCTCACAAATAAATTATCTCAAGGAGTTAAAGAACGCTGAGAAATCCATGAGGTCATTCATGCAGAGATTCTTCTAAAAGTGAACAATTGTATTCTTAGCTGAAACACCAAGCCTATTACAACGTGTCCTCGGCTTTCAGGTGTGAATGAAGAGTGATGCAGCAGGATGCAGTTTGCCCCTAATGATGCAGAGTTAACTCAAAAAGCAACAGAGGCAACCGCCTCTCAGTTTACAGTCTGAAGGAGAATGGGATGAGACTGACGCCGTTAATGTTTGTACGGTGAATGTTTCTGCCTCTGGAGGATGCAAAAACAATTTGTGCCTGGTGCCGCTTTTCAAGCAAGGTGAGGAGATAATGGGATTGAAATTTTACATGAAGCATGAGGTGATCCCAAAGGGAATGTCTGGGTAAATGACAAGTGAGAAGCGACTCACAGACAAAAAGCTGAGCTCCTGAGCAGCATAGGACAAGAGGGTCAATGAGCCCCATGCAATGTGTCCAGCATTTACGCGCCCTCTGTTTTTCCTTTGACTACCAACCAACACGTAGATGTGCACACACACACACACACACGCACACACACACACACACACACACACACACACACACACACACAAACCACAGGCTCTGATTCAGCTGCTGAGACATGCACTAATGAAGGATGACACTAAGATAATGGACCAGCACCTGTGCTCATACTCCACTCACTCCCAGCTCCTCTGTCATTTCCATCCCTACCTCTAGTTGCCGCCTCAGCTCCTTCGCATGGGCGGAGTCCTGAGACAGGTCTTCCCTCTGTGAAGCGTCAGCCAGGACATTGACTGTAGTTTCAGCCTCCTGGAGCCATCTGAGGAAGGACTCCAGCTCCCTGAGAGACGCCTGAACCCCTTTCAGCTCACCATCCAACTGCAAGTGACGATCACTCGCCCTGCCAAATGAAAAAGTCAAATGCAATCCAAAAAAAAAAAAAAACGTTGACAAAAGACACAAATTATGAATCGGGCCAGTTTTTAATGTACCTATTGTTGATGCTGTTCCAGTTGGCAGCCTGCCTCTCTGCGACTTCTTTGATCCTCCTGGTGTCGTCGGTGGAATATTCTCGTAAAAGGTGACTGGACAGCTCATTAAAGGCTGCGACGGTAGCTTGGCCTCGACCCAGAGATAGAAGAAATTCCTGTGGATGAATGAGCGCCGGAACACTGGATCATGGTGCTGAAAATCAGACTGATGATACCCTGTGAACACTATGAGTCAACCTGAAGGACCCCGTTTGCGTTGCTCCATGTATTACTTACGCTGAACTGTTTGGTGTCTGCTTTTAATAAGACGAATTAATGACTTGTCCTCTAAGCTTCGTGAATTTAAATAGAGCCTCTAAAGGAAGAGGAACCTTTCATCCTGCCGCTCCGCTCTCTGACACCATTTGTTTAACCTCTGCTTCATCAAGCAGATTACACACGATTATTATTCTAAACTCAGGCATATGTGACCAACAAGCTTTTGTTCTTTTCATAAAAAGGTACACTTCACAACTTTAAATGGACAATTACTCATCATGACAAGGCCACACAAACCAGAAACAGGGGCGTGTTCGCAGCTCTGCCGGTTCTGTTGAGCTCAGTTGCCCTCTAGTGTTTGCTTTGTGAACTGTCGCCCACAGACCTCAGGGGCAGCCTCAGGATTCAAGGAACTCATCATCGCAAATCAAAATAATGGATGATGTGGATGAATGAATGTTATTAAAGTAAAGTGAAACTTCACAGAGGTGATTTATAGATTTCCAACTTGTATAGAGTTGAGATTGCTTAAGTCAAAGACTTTTCCTCCATTAGGAAAAAGAATACTGTTGTAGATTTATAGTTCAGAATAATGACCTGACCATGGAGTCACTTTAGGTGACCACAGGAAAAACAGCCATCAGAGACGTCGTACATAAAGTTGTGTTTTTCTAACCTTACTGTCTTCAAGCTGTTTAGTAAGGGGATCTTTGGGACGCTGAAGAAGGGTGTGGAGACGTCCTTCGTGATGTCCAATCATGGCCTTCACCTCTTTTCTCTGCTCTTCCCACTGATTGCTGTGGCCAATCATGTTATCCAGCTGCTGGAGGCGGGCCTCGACGCCGTGCTGTGTGCTGTCCCACTGGCTGCGTACTCGCTCCACTACAGCCAGAGAAACAAGTCAATCCAACAGACAAAAAAAAAAAACTGGCAGCCATTAATTGATTCAAATGAAAATAAATTATATTAAAAACCCTTTCATCTTTTTAATTGGTCATGAAAATGCTCAGTGCAGCCAACCTATTTTGTACACACATTTCTCTGTAATGGATGTGCGAATATCCAGATCGGAGGTCTTGTTTTTGATGTTCTGTGCCAAGGTGAAAATGTCCTCTAGCTGGGAATGACGCTGCTCCAGGTCGCACTTTGTAACCTGTCATGAGAAAATCACATTCATGCGAGGGGTCTTCCGTGTTAGGGATTTTAATTTTAATAATTGTTATTCTAATTCAACCCATTAAAACCTGACATGGCCACAGACACTACTTTTGTTGCATGAAGAAGGTCAACAATGAGCTGTTGCTCACCTGGAGGCGTCCTATTGTGGTCCGGATTTCCTTTGTGTCCCCTACAGTGACTATATTAGATTTGAGCATCTGGGTGATAAGCAGAAGCCAGTCGGCCAGTTCGGTGGCGGTTTGGTTGAGGTCTTTGGGAGCCACGGTGTCCAGTGTGTGTGGGGTTTGATGGTAAGGGTCCTCACTCACCAAACTTCCCATCTGAACGGAAGAGGGCACCGCAGACACTGGAGATGCATAAAAGGGCACAGAGTTAAAGCCGAGCAACCCTGGCACGAGGCGCTTCTTTAAAAGAAATGATGTAACAAATCTTCTGGATGGGAGCATGAATGAGAGCCATTGTCAGATGACTCTCAGAGGACACTGGCATCAGACTGCGTCTTAATAAATAAGGCATTAGAGATTGCTTCGTGTTACACAACAAGAACTTTGAAGATCGGCTCCAATTTGATATCATGCACTGTCACTATTTGAATTTAGGACCACGAAAGAATTGTGCATTTCTCCCCAGGAGAACTTATTACAGCTAAAGGAAATGTGTTTGTCCTGTGGAGGATCCGCAGGGATTAAACCGCTTTCTTTGACTTAAACAAAAGCTTGAAACTGTCTTGGGGTTTAGTTTGGACTACTTCCCCTTTGTGCTCTGCAGAACCAGCAATAATAATAATATTTTGGTTTTTACCAAGCTGCTGGTGCTGGACAACATGTTGGTGATGCATCCACGGTGAAACGGAGGGCTGAAGAGATTCCCTCAGTCTGCTGTCCAGAGCTTTCCAATCTGTAGCCAGCTGCTCTATCGTAACCTGCACACATGGACAGACACGCACATTTATTTAATTTATTACTAAAAACAGGCAACGGAGTGCATACAGACCTCCATAAAACAGCCAATTAAACTGCAACCATTTAAATGACACTGAATGGATTGTGATGCTTTAACAATTTAGTTAAATGAAATGCCACAATTGACTATATGTTTTGTCTCAAATGATATTGAAATGGACACTGAGACCTTTTCCTGAGGCAACAGCTGCTGCTGTTTCTGCAGTTCAATAGAGTGAGCCAACAGATCCTCCAGGTCTTTCTTCCTGTCCATCATGGAGGCCTCAAGAGCCTGCAAAAGGTAGCAAAAATGGCTCAAAAAATAAATAGATTTTTCAATGTGTGTGAGTTCCTGTCGTGTATGAGGCCATCTACCTGCGCCTGGCCTGGATTCAAGCCTCGGGTCAAGATTGTTTGGTGGGTGACAACAACCCAGTCTGTCAGCCTGCTCATCCTTTCCTGGAACTGGGTATGACCCTGCAGATTGGTCTCCACCTCCCCAACTTTGTCCAGTAATTCCTGGGTCACCTGCAGCGGAAGAGGACAGAGGGTGGATGAAAGCAGGAAAGACAAAAGTAAGGAGTTTACAAAAGCCATCAAAAAGGGAGTCCCAAACTTCACTAAAGGGAAGAGAAAAATGTTATCTTTAAACTTTTTAACATAAAGGTAGAATAAATAAATTCAGGGATGAAAACAAAACTGACGGCACAACTACCTTGCTCCATTTCAGGTTGATGGCTCTCAGTTTTCCAACATGTTGGTCTCTGCTCTGGGGCCTCACACTGGCATTTGCTAAGATCTTGGGAGCATGCTTGTTCACCCAACCAAGTCGTTCATTCTGAGTGTCCATTTCCTCAGCCAGGGCCTGCAAAGACAGGTGCAGTGACCCTTAACTTTATAAATAATCAGAAGTAGACAAAAAATGAGACAAAGATTGAGAGTTGCTGTGTCCTGTCATAGCAATCGCTGTACAACAAATCCATTGGGGTAAAGTTTTGAAGTCCAGAGAGAATAAAGCCCTAAAAAGACTAATTATTTCAACAAAACTCCACTTTTTAAAGAAGACTCAAATACATGGAGCTTGTAAAGCAGCCTGGTGTGGGGAGCTACTGCACAATTCTTGGACTAACTTGACCATGCTGCATGAGTTGCGGTACCTTAAGTTCTTTGAGGTTTTTGTCAGTGGCCGAAACAGGGAGGGAGCTAACAGCGCTTTCCGCCTGCTCCAGCCACACAGTGAGCTCCTCACGCCTTCTCACCAGCTCTGACAGGGCGGGGTCCCCTCCAGCCATCCTGTACGCACACACAGAACATGCTCTCAGATTCTAATCTCCATTTCCACAAGGCTGCGAGCCTTATCATGAAATTTACATTTAAATTGCTGTTACAGAGTGATTGACTATGCTGATAAAGCTAACCAGGTGAAAACGGACAAACACCCACGGGGGCAATGACAGTGAGCACAAATGTGTGTGCTATTTCTGACTGAAATTTTGAATTTAAAGACGGCATCCAGGTACCTGCGCTGCCTGTCTAACACCTGGTGGTTGACAGCTCTCCAACGCTGACCAAGAACTTCCAGCTTCTCTGTAAGCAGGGACCCGTCAGGAGATGAAAGTTTCCCGATGATTTGCTCCCCGGTGCGGTTCAGGCCAAACAGGACAGGCTGGTGGCTGGAGACGCCCTCTTCCAGCTCCTGAAATAACAGAAGAGGAAGGGAACACAGGTAAGGGAAAATTAAGGATGCATAGGAGAAGTGAAATCATGCTGAAATAAAAACTTCATAGTTCAAGTCCATTTCTCCAAGCAAATCGCTTATTGACACACAGCGCTGATTTGTAGTCGGTCAAGATTTAAGCTGCCAAATCTCTACCTTACACCAGGAGAGATTTAACGTCCCTGGGCAGACCCGTAAAGTAAAGTGAGTGATTGTACAGTGCAGATAAGGATGAGTCAGCTAATAGATTTGTAAGCCCCCCACAAATGCACACACTCTCGATCCCTCATCTTATTCTCCGCAACAGTAAAAACATGTTAAAAAAAAAAGCTAGAGAGAAAGTAGCATGGCTTAAGTTTTACAAATCATGCTGATAAAAGCTGCTCATAGCAGGAGTCCTGTCAGCAATAACGCAGTGGCTTCAGAGAAATTACCTCTCCATGGAAATGGAAATACCTCACCAGTAATCAAACAAAACTAAATTAAAGGCCCTTTTTCATCTTTTCACTTCTCTCCATTTCAGCTCTGCATAATGAACGGTAAATGTGTGGTATGTTTATGAGGTACGGCATAAACTTTTTTTTTTCCCTCAGAGGAATGAAATGCAATTATCTCCTGACATATCCACACAGCTAACTGCCAATTTCCTAACACATATTGCTGTGGTCCTCTGGTGAGGTTGAATATCTTGCTTTGAATTGACCAGCATACCCAACTAGTGTCTATTTGCGACTGTTCAGCATTCAGGATGCTAATGCCGAAATACCATCACAGTTTTCTACTTCATAAATGTATGCAAGACAAAGAACCTTCTCAGCTTCCAGGGAGGGAAAATAAGTGCACATTTAAAAGGTTTGAGGAACTCATACCTCAGTAGATGTACACAAGCCATCCATGCATCACCTTCCACTGACCTCCTGATGATGTTGTGCAGATTCCAGGTCCAGCTGACCGTCAGGGCCAATGCTCTCTGACAGTAACATTTCTGTGTCTGTCAGCCACTGAGTGAGGTCCTTTAAGTCACAGTGAAACCGCCCCCACTCCTCTACCGCACAATCAAAACTCCTGCAGCATGACAAATGAACAACAAATATAGGTCTTTGTGAATTACCTGAATCTCTCAAACTGATTTCAAAGTGAGTATTTGTTTGTGTTGAGGTTGTTTGGTCCTCATTCAAATTTGTGTAAAATAAAAAATTTTAAAAGACAGAAATCCATTGGGAAATGATGTGGAGAACAGAAAATAACCTATTAAATATGTAAAGAATATGCATATATGAATTGCGCAGCAACCCAGAAGCCCTGACAACACTGTAAAGTTAAGAAATGCTGCAGAACAAAGGAAAATATACCCAGTGCTAATTACTGAAACTGTACCAAAAAGAAAAAAAGGCAGTTGTGTATCACATGGGTTCTGTGTATGAAGGCCATCTCTTCTGTGAGCAAATCTGAAGAACAGTGGAACTAATCTAATCAGAGAAACAAGCTGAGGAAATTAGTTTGGGTGAACAGTTTTACTAAATATGCTCCCATCTTTTGATTTATAATGATGCCTCGAGGTTATGCCTCTGCATTTGTATGCAATCTGAAAATTAGCTTTCAGGTTTACTCTCATCTTTTACACAGTGCTCTAAGCAAATGAAGGCTGTTTATGGCCAAAGAATTGAGATGATGGCAGTGGTCAAGGTCATCCACTGTGTGTGAATGAGTGAATGAATATATGAATAGGCACAAGACTGTTTATGCCAAAGGAACTGCTTTGATTTTAACCAAGGTCAGCATGCCTTTTTCACCACACCCTGCGCCCTCTATCTGCTCCTGCTGTTTGCAGATGAGGGAACAGCTGGCATTCGGCAGCCCTGTAGCTCTAAACAAATAAAACGAACTAAGGATTCCAGCAGAAAAAGCCTTTTTCCTTCCTGGTTTTATTCAGCAAAATGAGTTTGAAATGAGTTTGCATACCCTTTGCGCTCATCGTACATGCGATTCAGGCGGTCCCACTCGGCATTGAGCTGTGTGAGGGCGTCCCCCATTTGGGCCACCTCAGCAGGAGAGGCCTCTCGGATGGCATCAGGCTGGCGCTCATGGATCCCTGTGACCTGCTCACCGACGCGCTCCAGATTCTCCTTAATATTCTGTGAAAGAAAATACACAATATTCAGCTGCACAGCACATCACAATAGCTAATGCAGCATGTGGGCAAAACAGAAATCGTCCCCCATCCTCAGTCCTGAGGACCCAGTTTTGTCAGAAACACTACATCGGAAAGCATTCCTTATGTTCAAAATTAGTTTAATCTTAAGTTAAAATGTATTTCTATGAAAAACTGGTTAAATATTGTTCCCCATTTTGGTTTGCTATATAAATTCAGATATATAGCATAACTAACTAGAGCCATGCCCACCCTGAGCGTGTCCTCCTGGCTGGAAAAGTCCTCATACAGGCCCCCGCAGAGCTCGGAGGAGTTCAGAAGCAGCTCATTGTCGGCCATAGCAAGAAGAACTTTGTTGATCTCCAACAGGTAGTCAGAGGGATTCACTGAGCTGCTCTGACCTGGTGCTGACATCTCCTATGTCACAAAGCAGAAGGAGAAATTGACTCTGACTGACACCAAAGTAAATTAGAGCAATCCAAAGGAGCTCGGCTGTCTCACAGACACACTGTGCGATGCTATTAATTAAATAGCAATGATTTACTTACTCTGAAATTATTATAAAAAAGAATACTAAATCTTTTTGGAGCTGTCAGAATGCATCCAATAATGTTACAATAAACACAGAGGCTAATCATCTAGAGTTTTGACCAGCAACCACAACAGACTGCAAGATAATGGTCAGTCAGCGGTTTTTGCTGTGTCTGCCTCTTCAAAACCAGAGCAACACAGTGCCAGCCAAATCAGCCTCTATGGTATTTGGCTCTGACACTTCTTTCCTAGCAGGCTGTGGCCAAGAATGATGCACTAGCTACAACAGCCTTGTAAAGGTTGTGTGACATCATAATGTACAAATTAAAGGCTCAAGGCTTCTTCTGGAGGAAAGTACTCCTCTGTCAAGTCTTGGAGTCAGCCTCTATGACAGCTTTCGTGGCCAGTCAGAGAATTGCCAGCGTCCTTCTAAATATTTAGACATACAGCACAGGTATGTGTGGGTGCCCTTACATCAGCTAAAAACTCCATCTGCTCTCTGGAAGTTTGAGAAGATGATGACTCTACAGAGACGTCGACCTGCACTTCTTTCCGCATTCTCACCTTAAGCGAGCACACACACAAACAAGTCAAATTAAACATAAGTACACATTGATCCTATAGGTGGCTTTTAATGAAAACACCAGTGAAGTTTATGTCTCCCACCCTGTGAGCAGAATATTGGCTCTGCAGCCGGAGCAGCATAACTCTCAACTCCTCCCTTTGGCCCTCATCAGGGGTTTGCTGCAGCAGCTCTTCTCCCCGTCTCAGCAAGTCTTCTACGCTGGCTTTCTCCTCATCCATCTGTCATAGAGAGGCACGGAGGAAAAGGTAACATCCAAGAAATTTGAAAATTCAAAAGTGAGCAAATTTTTAATTCGACCAAATTAGATTTGATCTGAAAAGTAGCCAACTGCCTAAACAAGCAGCAAGTATCTCAGATGGCGGGTGAAAAGTAAGGTTTGGAAATAAAAAGGTTTCAGACATAAAGAGGCTTTCAGGCAGTACAATAGCACTGACTGGAATTGGTCTGTTTTTTAACCTTAACCATGATACTGAATATATATATTGATGTACTGAATTCCACACTTGGTAAACCTTGAAAGACTTTACAAATGCTAACCTTACGAGGAAAAAGCTTTACTTTATATAGTCTGTAATGCAGCCTATTCTTCAGAGAATATCTGAAATAACTTCACAGAGGACAAAAATATCCCACATCACTGGCTTTTAATTAAACTGCATACATTGGGACTCCATACTTTTTCTTAATTCATCTACTCGCTTTGTTTACGAGCATAAAAAACTATGTGGACATTGAAAAGTAGTGTTATGAAAAAGGAAAACCTAAGTACCTTGTCATCGTCATGGATGCTGACTGGGTCCTGCTGCAGAGCCCTAAGTGTGTCCTGAAGCTCTGCCTGAAGGACCTTTATCTCAGTGGGGACCAACGTTTTAACAACGTGCTTCTGACTTTCTGATTGGATCTCCTGAATGTGAGTAACCTGATCAAAAAGAGAGAAAAAAAAAAAACCTCCAGCCACTTAGTCTGAGTCACTAATATGCATGAAATCATCTGATTGTGTATAAAACAGGTGTCAGCCACACTGAGCTTTGCTGTCAGCTGTTGCTATGCATTTTAATCTTATTTTGAATGAATCATAATAATATAGAATCTCATGCTAAGTTGAGGTTTCGTTTGTCATGTGTTCTTGCAGTTAGTACAAATGATAGTGTGTACCGGCTGAGGTTCCTGCTGATTCATTTCAACACCTCCTGACTCCAGGCTGGCCATCATCTGCGAGCCAAAAAAAGAAAAACGGTGAAAACCATATTACAGTCAAACAATCTGTCAGCAAATCTGCAACTTTATTTAATGCTTTCGTACCTTGGCAGTTTTGACGTGATGGGAAACTTTGTCAAAATTACAATTCAGCTCAGCAAGTTTTGGTTCCACCACTTCTCTGCAGGCCGGGCCCCTGCTGGTCATCAGGATGATAGCTTGGTCCCTCACATTGTCCACACGTAGACTGATGTCCTCCAGCTCCTCCAGCATGGTCTAAAGACACAACAAAGAGCAGTTTTTTTTATCCTGGTCATCAGTTTCAAATGAAGGGGAATGCATCAAAATAAGTCTGCGCTGCAAAAGAACAGGTGGACAACCCTTAACAGTTTTAGAAAAATTAGTTACCCTGTATAAGCACTGATTTCTGAAAAAAAAAAAAACATTTAACTTTATTTTGTTTGTGAGGGCTGTTATTGTGTACACTGTCAATTCTTGTTAAGTTTTCAGACTCCACAGGAAACACAGTGGGGGGAGGGGATGGGGGGGGGCTGAATGGTGCAGCTTCTACAAATTCATGGATTACCTCCAGCCTCCGGCCTACCTTCAACATGTTTTCTCTCTCGGCGGGGGCCAGCCTCTCAGCCTCATCCAGGTGGATCTGGGTCTGGTAGAGCCAGGTGCTGATGTGAGCCAAGTTCTCATCAAAAATCTCCACCTCGTTCTGATGACTCTGCACAAACACAAAGAAAAACAAGAGGCTCAGTGATTTCCACAAGGAAATCAAAACCACTGTTTCAACAATTTGAAAAGAGGAACTTCTCAATTTCCTCTTTTCAAAGGGGAAAAAAACACACTTAAATATCATGTGTTTGCTTTGTTGTGGATGTGCATTTGATTACTCTGCACAGCTACTGCAATCACCTTCAGGACATGATGAGTGATTAGGGTGAAAACATTCCAGAAATAGCCGTTCTTAAACAGGGAAAGGGAACTACAAAAATAAACATTTTAACCCTTTAAAAATCCTGTAAATTTGGTACGCTTTACAAATGAAGCAGTAATCCACCTAGAAAATCTGTAAACTAAAGACAAAAAGATCAGCGTAGTCTGGACTAGTTTTTGCCCAGTAGACGAGAACCAGGTGGGAAAAAACGATTAAATAAATGAAGAGTAGCTGCGTTCTCTATTTTATCTCATAGTACCCATTATCTGCCCTCACCAGAACATTGCTGAGCCAGTCTTCGGTCCAGGTGTGGACACGGTCCCAGGCCTCATTGAGGCCACACAGCTTGCCCTCCAGCTGAGCCTCGCTGCCCTCCACCAGAGCCTGGAGACCGGCACTGGCCTCCATCAGGCTGGACAGATCTGCCTTCCGATGCTCCGACTCCTTCAGCAGGCCCTGATTGAGAGGGATATAAGTCGCTGGTTCAGGTAATGCTCGTGAATCTAATGCTCTTGTGCAAAAAAAAAAAAAAAAAAGGAAAATGACAAAAAACTGAAAATAGAAAGATTTAGATAGAGTTCTTAATCCTAGAGCAGCTGCATTCTCTTCAAAATTTTTACATTTAATCTCCGCAGTTTCAGAAGCATCAAATATGTTTCTTTGCTCCCATCTGCTGGTAAAATAGAAAATAATCTCTCCAACTGTTCTTATAGAACTGTCACGCTGTCAAAATATGCCTGATCACGAAAACTAAAACTACAAAAATTAAACTTAATATGACTTTTTATAGCTTTTTGTTAATTTCTCTAAATTAGATGTCGCCCATACATGGTAACTTCTTATAAATATGCATTAAAAAGTAATAAACTTTAATGAAATTATAATGACAATGATTTGGACTGAATTAGATTATTGTGGATTGAACTGGACTTTATTTGATCGGAATTTGTTTAATCTTCATTTGAGGTTACCTTTGTTGTGAATGATAATCACATCAACAAAAATGATCCAAGTAAGTGGGAATATAAAAGAATTTAAAAGAAACTGTCTGTCCTGTGCCAGCCGCTTACATTTGCCCACGCAATCTCAGCATCAATGTCAGCAGGCATGTCTCCGAAGCTGTTTTTCTTTTGGAGCTGGATCTCATTTATGGCCAACCAGTCCTGCAGTGATGCACTGTCTTTCTGGAACTTCTGAGACAGGGACAGAGCTTTCTCCAAATCCTGCTTCCCCTCGGTTACCTGTGGAAAGAAAGAGCAGGGCTAAGAGCTAATTCAGAAATGCAGTATTGTTTTCTATCATCCAGAACAAAAGCTTACTTCCTTTAAGAAAAAAAATCTAAATGAGTTACCTGAGCCCCCAGGTCATTGTAGAGCAGTTTCAGAGCAGTAAGCTGTTCATCCATCGCTTTGGGATTTTCTGTCTGCTGTTTCTGCACAATCTGCCGACCTGTTTTTATCACCGTCTCCACTTCCAGCTTCACCTCACTCAGCAACTTATACAATTTCTACATAGAAAAATTCCCCAAATGTGTAATTATATAGCAGTGATAAACAATTTAAACAACTTTAGCAAACTTTGTACAACTGTGACTAACAAAGATTCTCACCATACAACCACTAAGGTGGGACTGGATCTTCTCTGGCTCCACGTCTTTAACGTCCAGGACATGCAACTCAGCTTTAGCACCTTCCAGGACTCTCCTACAGTCCAACATGCGCTGCTCAAAATTAGCAGGCTTCTGGAATAGCTGGTACTTTGTGGAGATCTCCCTCAGTTTCCTCTGCAGAGCAATGCAAGAAGTAAACGTTAAACATGTTGCAGTGCAAATTAAAGATAAGAGAAATACCACTAACTGGCTTTTTTCCCCTTGTTTAGGGTGCGACAGTTCCTGCCCAAGTGGCAAAAAAAGTGTAACTTTAGGACTTCCTGCACTTTCGAGAATTGTCCAGTAGAAGTCAGTATTACCTGTAGTTGGTCCAGCATGGTCCCACCACGGGCAGCTTTTCCATCAGTGGTGGGAGGAGGTAAGTTCACCACATTCCTTCTCCTCATCTCCTCCACTGTCACCTCGTGGGCTGCAATCTCTGCACCAATAGTCTGAAAGAGAAGCCTAATTAAGTACATCTAACTTGACAAAAACGTCAAGAAATTTGATTTCTTGCATATTTTCCTTGATATTTTAGTCTTGTGAAATTCGAAAAAAATGTTTTAATGTGATACTACTGATACTACAGACACCTTAGGCTAGGATCCTTTTCCAGGAATTAAACGTTCTCTGTGTGCGTGCATTGTACCTGAGACTCCAGGGGGAGCTGGAAAGCGTCGATGCGATCAGTGAGGTAGGAAGTGAGCGTATGGTCCAGCTGGCTTAGGGATTCCTGCAGGGTTTGGAGTGCCTGCTCGTTCTCCTTCAGAGTCTGCAGCTGCTGCTCAAGACTGATCTGCCGGTTCACCGCCTGAATTACCATGCCAACAGTGACAATGTAAACTGTACTTGTACCGATGGGTTTCGGGAAAGTGAGAAATGTTTGCAAAGAAAATGTTTCAAAATAAAAACATGCAGAAAAATGAAATGACTAACTAGCGACAGAAGCTAAAAACATTCTCACACAAGCACAGAGAGCTTATCCTGACCTGATGGTTGAGTTGATCGTAGCGCGAATTGAAGGCCTCGAGTTTTTCACTGATGAGCTCATCAAGTATGCCCCCGTCAATAAGCGTCTGACCCAGCTCTCTGATTTGTGTCCGGTTGTCCCCAGGGTGGCGAAGCACACACTCCAGAGACTGGTGGTGGATCAGGAGATGGAAAGCAGGTAATACGCATGAGAAATTAAAGGAGTAAGGAATAAAGCAAGAGGCTAAAAGGAAACGGCTATGAAGTGGTGAAATTCTGTGAAATTCCTCGAAAACCGATGGAGCATAAATGAAGAAAAAGATACCTAGGACAGTCAGATGCAGAAGAGACCACAAAGAGTGAAATAAATCCAATGAATGAGAGTATGCGTGCACGTTTGTACACAAAATTAAAAAAGGATGTAAAAAGCTGAGCAAAACAGATGAAGAGAGTGCTCAAATGGATGGAAGCAAGCCAAAAGAGACAACAGCTGAACGAGATTTAAGATGCAACAGAGAGCGAGCCCGTGGACTGATGCTGCACTGTTTATGTGCACTCATTAAAAGTACTTTTCCTTCCTGAGGTGATGGACAGAGAGAGAGCGACAGCCCTCCCCAACAATCCCTACCCAAAAGCGGTGTGCCCAAAATGGGAGGCATGACAGCATGAAGGGTGAAAGAACAGAGTTCACACGAGTGAAAAAGAAGCCAGAGAGAGAAGGACTTGTTGATGGTGAGAAAGGAAAAAAAGCCCAAAAGGTTTGATGAGAGGAACAAAGCTGGGGCAGAGACAGGTTGGCTTTAAGGGTCTTCAGTTTCCTTCATAACTATGTGATGTTACAGAAGCTGCACAGTGATTAAACTGAATTTGACAGTCGTGCTGCAGGCAGTCCACAGATATAGAAGCATAGCTATTCTAAAGCAGAAGAACCTTGGGAAACTAATTAAAGGCACATTGGGATATTAAGATGTAGTTTTAACCATAATTGAATAATTGGCTTGCAGTTTTGCAGATTTCATACAATCTTCCTCTGAAGTTTGCTTACATGTGTCATGGACATAAGAAAAAAAAAAACTTTATCTTAATGCAGAGAACTCATAGAGCACAGTCAAAAAATTATTGCATTAATTCCAGTTACTTCCAACAGGCATTGTACACACCAACCGTCCTGTCGGCATTAATGTGTAAAAGCAGCGGGGAAGTTCTAAAATAGCTTACAGATATAACATATAATCCAAGTAGAATAAAAACATTTAAAGATTTAATTAAATTGCACATAAGTGATGTGAATTTTTTCTTCAAACAATTAGTAATTCTGACAGTTGTATATTTTTTTTATCCCTTTTTTAAACACCTCTCAGGCAAAGATAATTCATAATTTCAAGTAAGTTGACATATAAACATCCTTATATTTATAGAATTGCCATAACATGTCAAGTCTAATGTTTTGACTCTGCTATGAGTTGTTCTCCAGGATTATATAACTAAGCATCCAGTAACCCCATATTAAGAGGCAGTAAACAGAAAATGAATTTGAGTATTTGTACCTCCAGAGCTTCATTAACAGCCTCTGTGCTCTCTGGTAGGTTGTCAGTAGCTTGCAGTTTCTCCTCCAGAGAGTTGAGCCAGCTCTGCTCCATGTCCAAGTACTGAAGCAGCTCCATCCAACAGGACCAAACCTCCTGCACAATGCAAATAAATCACAAAAAGCATTTTAAAGAAAACATCAACTGACTGTATAACGTGACGAGTCAAATATGCTCCAAAAGCACAATTTGTTCTTGTGCAAAAAAATAAATAAATCCTACAAAAAAATACAACATATATTTAGACAAAAAAGTGGCGATGACTAATGAATCTTTAAATAATGTGAGTACAACAAAGTGACATATCTGACCTTTATTCTGCATAAAGGGGGATTCAAACATAGTGCCTGTGACTACTTCTTAAGACTCTACTTCTTAAGGATTAATTCTGTAAACTGGAATAATCAGAATTACCTTCAAGCGCCTCTTGTTCCTCTCATGAAAATTAATGGAAGAAGGGCCAAAAAATGACAAAAAATTACACACACTGGAAATCGATCAGCGGTTCGATAACTAAAGCAAACGCCGACCGCTGGTGCATTAAAAAATTAATTATAGAAAATGTTAATTTATCTGAAACAAAAATCTGCTCACAATGTAGAAGTGATGATTTTGAAAAATACAAGTCATTTGTCAGACAAATCAACACAACCATTGTTCGCCAATTCTGGAATTACCTCCAGGGTGTGACATTTGCTCTTTAAGCGGTCGCAGAGCTTGTTGTAGTTGCCAAGTACCCCATCTAGCTCAGGGGTCAGCTCCTGTCCAAAGCCACCACCAGGGTGTGACATTCGAGACACCAGCAGGTTGATGCTGTCTTTCAGGATCTTCACCTTCACTTCTTTCTGCAGCACATCCTCTTTCGCTCGCTGTCAGAGATGAGAAGAAAGTCCGTTTTTTTTTTTTTTTTTATTAGACAAGGGCCACAATTCACCATTTTCCATCCACTAACTCCCACCTTCATCTCCTCCAGCGAAGCCTCCAACTCCTCAGGACTCTTGTACTCAAAGTCTCTCATTAGAAACTCTTCGTCAACTTGGGTCATCCATTCCTGCATCTCCGCCAGGTCTTTCTTCAAATTCACTTGCTTCTCCTGACTCTCGGCCACATGCTCCTGATGGCTCAGGAGCTGGACAGAAGCACTCCCGTCATGTTTAAGAAACAGCGAGCAGTATCATTTACAACACCCTTAGAGCCTCGTCTGTCTTAACTGCATATTATCTCACCTTTTGTTCTTTTTATTACTGTGCTGAATTTACAACGAGGAGCGGCAGAAAACAGCTCAGGTATACAAAATTAAAACTGCATCTACACGAACCGTGCTGTAACTCGTGTTTTGAAGTCAAAACACAGGTCTTCTCACCTGTTTGCTCAGTGTGGCCCATCTCCCCTCGCACTCTTCCATCTTTTCTTGGCCCCACCTGGCCAGTCCTGGGACTGCAGTCGCCTGCACAGCTCTCACATTCTCTTCCATCTGCTTCAGCGAACGTTCCACTGACTCCATCTCATGAACATACTCCTGGTTCCAAAAAAGAGAGCCGAGCTTCAGGCAGAAGCATGAAAACAGCATTTCATTTCATTTATCTTTTTTCTCTCACCTTACACTGATGAAGCTCTTCCTGCAGGTTCTCTCCGTCACCCAACCCTGTGGTGTCACGAGACAACAGCTCCTGAACTGCATTCAGCCAACACTCCACTTGTTGCAAACGCACCTGAATGCATCGTGGAAACCACTGTTAACCGTATTTAACTGGAAACACACAACCCACAGATTTTACACAAAAAAGCACCCTCCTCAAATCCTCAGAAATCATAGTCATTCTACCTGATTGTCCTTCATGCTACCCAGAATGCACTGCAATGTGCCGTGCTCCTCGCGGGCCCTGGAGGACAGCTGACTCCATTTTTGTAGTTCCGCAGGATCGGAAGCTTGTTGTGTTTGCTCAATCTTGAGACACAGGCCCTGAGGTGAGCGACAAATAAATGAGATTTGTGAAGTAAATATTTGACATCGGAAACGCTTGAAATGATATCTGTGAAAATAACACTTAGACAAATGTTGTTTGTGGAACAAGCATGGGAGAAGAGAACGCTCTCTAAGCATTGTCTTCAACTTGAAACTTATCTAAACGATTTACTTGATTTACATGCTTCACATGCATCCATAAGTAGTTATTAAGTATGCGTACATTATTAATAACAACTTGTTAAACAACTCCCAAAACTGTATGCTGAGATGTGAGTCCATAGTAATGCTGAAGATCATTGTCCTGTCTTCTCATTGTGCTAACAGCCAACTGATCTCAGAGCAGCTGTATGTTGCGGTTATCAGGCTGACAGACTGGTTCAGCGGCTCCATACGGAGCACAGAGCAGATCTGCGCTGCATTCATGGGCACACTGCCCAGAAAGTGCCAAATCCCCCACCAGGGCTGCCCAGCACCGCGCCCTGTCTGCTAAGATAACAAGAGCACAAACTGACGCACATTCCACCAGATGATGGCAAAGACGAAGACACGGTCAATCACCAAAAAATACCCAGTAACAGGTATATTAGAGAACCACATCATACGACACACACACGCGTTTTCACACACAGAAACACAGCACTGAGAGGAGTGACAGGCTGATAAAGGAGCCTATTGTGTTCTGGGGAAGGAAAAAAAAAAACAAAGGGCAGACGCAGACTGATTCTGTACCGATATACCAAACATGCAGACGCAGACACAAACATAAGCAGCTGGTGAGACTGTAACTGTGTCAACCAGAAAATCAAAGAGCATCTGTGTCATCTACAGCAATGTCCAAACAAATATAAAAAAACAACACAACTTTATCTTTGATTTCATTTCATCATCTATAAATTACCCACACTCAATAAAATCAGTGTGAACTGGTACCTGAATTACAAAACAATTTATAATCATACAACAGTCCTGATATGAAATATAAAGCTGTATTCAAAGGATTTTGGAGGAAAGCTTTTCCGCTCACCTGGGCCCGCTCCACTGCCCCCTCCGCCGTTGGTATGTCTACTATCCCTTCTCTCAAAGTAGCCACCCGGGCCTCCAGATCGTTGACCGAACTTTGAACCACCTGGGTGGTTTTGAGACTGGTCAAGACTGCAAAAGTAAATGAGAAAGTAGGTAAGTTGCTTTGAGAGAAGAATGGAACAGAATACACCTATGTTTACTGTTTAATCAAGTACTCAAGCTTTCTACCACTAGGAGGCAGGAGTTCTGGACAAATGCGTTTCCTATGCTGTAAGTGGGTCTATTAAACTCAATTTAACTGCATGTTTCTCTAATCAGGTTTAGCTGCATTCTTCAGCAATTGAAAAATAATATCAAACAGCTGTTCTGTCATGAACTTTGAATACAAATTAGATGGTTTTACAGAAGTTACAGGACTCACATTTGTCACAAACTTAATTATATTAGGGAGCCACGTCTCAGTGGCTCCTGTTTCTCTTCATGAAAGTCTCATCAGTTCTGCTCAGTGTGCCTTAATTACCAGGTGATTTAATCTTATAAAATCTGGATATGTTTATCCCCAGAAATTGCAGACATGGCGTGTATGTATGGGGTGCTGAGGCCCCAGCAAGAAGCAAGCCGCACTCAAGCAGAAACAAAATAGTTTTCCTTGGGTCTCATCCAAATCCTCAAAGTCATAAAAGTCCAAGAGGTGCAGCAAAACAAACTAACACACACTCACACTGACTTAATTTTGGCAACATATGTTAATTTCACAGTCGAAAATGATGACTTATTATGACTTACGTTTTTTAGCCTTGTTCCAGTCACCTCAAGTAGATATGAGCTGACAGAGATAATGACCTAACGCATAACTGCTCACATGCACATCCACCAATCCATGAACGTTTGCAGGCCATATAAAGGCACCATCCATTACTTGTGACTGGCCAAGGTTTCATATAAAACCTGATGCCAAATCTACAAAGCCTGTGCGGGGCTTGGCCAGGCTGAGCTTAGCATTCACCCTCATGGCATCCTTATAAACCTGAAAGTTTGGACTGAGAGCAAGATTTTTAAAAATGGTCTGCTGCTTTCTGTGGGTTGAACTGAAAAGTAACATGTACTGCTAATAGTTTAACTTCCACTAGGTTTTGAAGTTTCTTTCACATACCACTGATTGAACAAATGACTTCAGTATTGTGAAGCACAGTTACCTTCATCGACTTCCTGCTCTCTCCTCTGCAGCTGCTGCAGTGTGGATGCATGATGTGCAGACACCACGACCATGTTGTCCTTTAGAGAGGGCACCACTCCCAGAGATCCCGTCTCTGTGGACAGCTGCTCCAGTCGTGGACTGAAAGCAGTGACCTGAAGCAGGCGGGACTGAGGAACACAAAGTAGATTAAAAAGTTCAGCGTACTCAGCCCATCCGAGTATCGTCCAGACTGCTCAAAAACAACTTGAAAAATGTGAGAATGGAGACACTTGAATTCGTTGTGCGAAAGCCCCCAGCATCCATTTCACCTAACAAGCATTTTGAATTACATTGTGAGAACTGTGATATCTTTTTTGGTCTAAAAAGGATATAAAGACATTTCATTCAAACTCTTTGCGAATGCTGACCATCTATTTGTACAGTAGTGATAAATACAGTTTCCCATAATAACAGACTGACAGCCCCAAAACACAGCACCCCTGGCCACAGCTGTCTGCTAGAGATGGAAGGATCCCAGGAGTAAAATTAATTTGAACTGGTGGTTTTCCTAAATGAGTCAAGTATATAACAGCAGGCCCTAAAACTCACTGCCTATGAACATTGCAGTGAACCACTTGAAGCTTTTGCATATAATTATGGGAAGCACAATATTGTTTCACTTCACAAACAACACTATACATCCACAAACATAAAGTCAGAGTAACATGAAGTTGTCTCCTTTTTTTCCCCATACAGCTGAGTTTTGCAGTAGATTTCATTGTGGTTTCAAGCTTTGAGCTTGTTTTTTTGGTGTCGTACATGCTTGTCAGACCAGGCATTCGAATGCCTTATAACTCTGTTTTATTTGGTTTGATTCTCTCCAAAAAAAGCTTAAATATCCATACATAAACGCCAGGGATCATGGGCTGAGGGCTAAAGGTGAATTATTTCATGTGGATTACAGTCACACAGAGGAGATCAGGGTGAACGTGACTGAGGCGAAAATCTCACCCGACATTCTTCAGTCAGGTTTCTAAGCTCGACCTCGTTACACTTTCCCCCAACTGAGGTTGACTCCAGCCACCGGTCCTGTTCCCCTAAGACCCGGTCCAAGTCTGCGAGTTCTGCAGAAACCCCTCTAAGTCGGTTCAGAGTGCCAACCCTGTCACGGGCAGCCTGGAGCTCCCTGGCACAGACTTCCCACTCAGTCTGGATCAGGTCTATATTCGTCCTGACCGAGTCTACATTTGCGGCCTCTGTAGAAAAACATAGAGAGCAAAAGCATCTGGTAAAGAATACATTTATATTTTTTTTAAAGATCTTTAAATTCATTACACTTAATGTGTTTAGTTTTAAAATGGAGTATGAGATCCCAGCAGAACTGATGGATGAAACGGTGTAGGGCAGACAAAATGAGCCTGAGAACAGCAGCAACCATGCTGCTCCACCACACCCCCTCATTGCCTCCAGAACAATGTAAACACATAAAAAATCCCCCAGTTTCATTGAGCTGTTATAGGTTGTGCAAGCCTGCAGGCTGAAAGAGTTTTACTACTCAGTCTCAGCACACACGCAAAAACGCACATTCAGATTAGAGGCATCTAATAGTGACTAACAGTAGAAGAAATGTAGTCTTTTACATACCCCGAAAACATCACACTGCAGCAGAAAAGTTGTAAACTATTATGAGGTGATATTTTACAAGTACTTTATGCTGTTTGGAGTGAAATTGAAGACTTTTGTTTAAGCCAGGAGTCAGGATGTGCTTTAGGCCATTAAATATGCCAAGACCCAAAGACTTGTTTAGGGGAGCATGTCTGCCTTAACTTATATGGCTTCTAGGATTTATGGTTTATTAGGGGAAAACTCCTCTTTGCTTCATACCTCTCTCTAGCTGCTCCATCAGGCCTCGTCCCTCCAGGATGACTTCACGAACTGTGGCTTCTTTGGCTGCAAGCTGCAACTCCAGATCCTAAATCCGTTGATAGAAGAGTCAAGATGTTGTTCTTAAACTTTACTTTAAACTGTCTAAGTAGCACCACTGGCAGGTTTACCTTTAGCTTCTCTGTCAGATCTGGGCTATCGGGTGCAATTTCAGGATGTGCGGAGGCCAAAGCCTGAGCAGACGCCTTCCATGCGTTAATCCAGCTCAGTAAATCAGTAATCTTATTGTCAAACCTGCAGAACACAATGCCGCCTTAGCATTTGAGAGATTGGTATTCGTGCACATTTTCTGGCAGTTGAGACGTGGCGTGTAGGAGTCACAGTTCTTACATTCTTCTGACTTCTGCGTCCGTCTCCACCAGTCGTTTCTTCGGGGGAGCAGGTGGGGCAAGCTCCTGGTCAGTCACGGCAAAGGTCTCCACAGCGACCTGCTCTTCCACTTCCTGAGTCATCCCGGCGTCTGTCACAGCTTCCATTACCTGAGAGGGAGAAGTGTTGGTGAAAGTGCAGCGAATTGAAATAAACTAAATAAATAAATAAACTGCTAACTAACAGCTTTCCCACTGCCCTACTTCTCCCGCTTTTGTCTTAAATCCTGCTAACAGAGCCAAAATCATCTCTCAAAATACTTTCTCAGCACCCTGTGCTGTCTTAATTATTGGGGAAGCGTACTTGTTTATCATCTGCAATGTAGAAGGCTGAAGCTGAGTGTTTACAAAGCCAAACTGAAAAGTTGCAGGTTGAATTAAACCACAGTGAAGTCTGGTGCTTTGGCTGACACCCTACTTCCGGGGATGTTTCCCACTGTTATTGATTATCATCATCCCAGACCACTTATAGGCCTGCACACACCTGAAATGAGCAATCCTCCAGCTTCTGCACCAGGCAGTCCCATCGATGGGCCAGCTCCTCTGTGTCTGCTTCGATTTCGGCTCCGGCCTCAGCACTGTGAAGCAGCTGTATCACATCATTCCCTGCGTCGGACAGCTTGTCCAGAGTCCTCCGTTTCTTCTCCATGTCCTCCTTTAAAATCTTAAGAAAATGAGAGGCAGAGGGTCAAAGCCGCACGTACACAAAATAATGTCATTTCTACTTTGTGCAGTTTAGTTTTAAGTGAGAATATTGAGCAATATGACATGCTACACCTGCAGGAGCTGCTGAGAATAGGTCCTTTACTTACTGCCAGTAGGCGGACATTTGTGTTTATTTCAGTGGGGTCTTTAAAGTTGCTGGTCTGTACTGCATTTAAGGCCTCTTCTTTTTCAGCCAACCACACTCGAAACAAACTCTGTGAGAAAGAAACGCAAAACAGCTTAATTATCCCAATGTTCATTTTGTTCAAATTCAGAACTACTTCAGGATGGATCAATTTTGTTTGTAGCACAAGTTTATTGTGTTTACTCTGATTTCAACCAAAAATACTTTAATTACACACGTACACACACACACACACACACATACATACATACACACACACACACACACACACACACACACGTATAAGCATATCTCACCTGATCTGACAGCAGCTGCTGCCAAACCATAAAGATTTCCTGCAGCTTGTTCCACCTTTCTTCTGTCCAGCGGCACACGGCAGCCCAGCGCTCACCCAAAGACTGAATCCAAGATAATAATAAGAAACACAAATCCTGAACGACTGATGTCAGCAGCGACATACTGGCGGCATTTGGGAGTTAAGTTACAAACAAATGGACTATTTGCAGTATCAGCCTCTGCTGATAATTTAATCTTTAAATGAAAACAACTGTAACACAAAAGCCAGCCTACTTGCAGTTGCTCTTCCAAGGCAGCTGTGGCACTCTCACCACTGTTCTCATCAACGACGACCACCATGTGGGTCAGAGAGTTGACCTTCACCTGCTCCGCCTCCAAGTCATTCTGAAGTTCCTTTTGAGGGACACAAACAGTATGTTCAGCATGGTCACATATTAGCCATTAGCCGAGATGGCTGGAAAGCATTTATTGTGACCACATGGAGACCATCCATGACTCATTAAAAGCCCAGCATGAAACATGTGGCGATGTGATTATAAGACTGATGTCCTACAGCAAGAACACTGCCATTAGACTGGGACGATTACCTGAATCCACTCTGTTTATGAATCATTGTCACTTGGACAAACATTCTTTACATAATTTGCATCAGATATATTTAAATAACAGTAAGAAATGATTTATTTACTTTGTGTTGCTCTATCTGTTCTTTGTAGATGTCCAAGTCCTTAGCTGCTGGTGCTGTTTCTATCCTTTTGATTCTCTCCTCTGTCAGCGTCAGCCAATCAGAAAGCTGTTGTAACTGTTTCTGCTGAAGATCCATCAGCACTTCATGGAGCCTGGAAGGTGCGGTGGAGATATTCATTCATTTATTTATTTCCCGTACCCCTGGGGGGCCTGGAGACTATCCCAACTGTCATTGGGCAGTATGCAGAGTACCATTACATCATCAATGTGATGTAAGGATGTATGGTATTTTTGTTTGCCTGATCTGGTAAATCCAGAACATTTCTTTAAAAAAATACACACAAAGTGGCAATTGGCTGCAAAAGAAAAAAAGAAAAGAGGGATGTCAATAAATTAGATGTAAATTTTTGTGTTTTCACCTGGCCTGCCGGTCCATGCTGGCCACTCGCAGGCTCTCCCAGCGAGAGTTGAGGAGGCTCATCTGCTCCCGGATTTCCTCTTCCTCTTCTTCAGTGAGGTTGCCCTGGGCAATAAGTTGGTTACCTGCTTGCAGCACATTACCCACACTGCTCTGATGTGCCGTCAGCTCCATCATAAAGGCCTGAAGAAGAAGAAGAAAATCCAAAATATTTTCTATTAATAGCAAATCTGTAACCTGAAAGCTTAACAACAAAAGAAAGCAGATGGAAAAGCAAATGAACATCAGACACAATTAAATATATCTGAATATACTGTTGAAACAGGAGTGTCCAGATTAATACAAAATACATAGTAAAAAAAAAGCTTTCGGACCAACATCTGGATAAACTTCTCTATACCAGTCAGCTAGAGTAGAGGTTGTTGTGTCTGCAGAAGTGTGTCTGTAAATGCTGCTGTAACAGCAGTCACATGAGGATAAAGAACAAACTAAGGGGTGAGCTGGCAAATGAGCCAACTGTGAAACAGAAAAGGAGGGAAACTGATTCAAGAACACATACAGAGAATGTCCTTTGATGTCAATGGGGAAAGAGATGAGTGGATGAAGTGAGTCATCATCCATTTCCAGTACAGTTTTTCATGCTTTCTTTTCATTAGTTTACTGTTGCCACAAAGGGAACAAAAAGGCTGATCCAAACTGGCTTTTTTTTTTCAGGCCTCCTGAAAAGCCTGGCTGAAAAAGAGGCTTTGGATCCTGTTGCTCGCCGTCTCACAACCAGCTTTCTGCTTTGACCTGAATTCCAGACATTCAACTTTACAAATATTCACATTTCAGCCAAGGGAATCCTGCCAAAGCCCCCCTCACACACATGTACAGACAAAAACCCTGCAAATACGCCTCGTCAAGCAAGCAGGTCTGCTCTGGGCCAGGGCACTGTGAAGTGCTGTGCGCCACTCTTCTCAAGATTCCTGGCATTCCCAACATGTACAGAGCATGCATCTCTGGTTGCTAGTGACCACAATCAGACAAATAATGTTGTGACAGTTTGTAGCCCAAAGGCTTCTGTGTAATTCCAAGCAAATAGCGTCTTGTGTATCTCAGTCTAAATAAAAAAACATTACTCAAAAGGACATCTCACTCCAAAACGTTGATTCAGTTTGGGCTTTTATCCGTTTTCCTTTTTGTATTTGTTTAAGGGATCTCAGAAATATTATTCCGGCTTTTAAAAGGGGCCACGAGACACATGACACTGACTGAACCGACGATATTGCAGGTCTGCATGGGTGAATATCTCTGCACGCGAGTGAAGCAGCTCCACTACCTCATGGGTGTGAAACTGTTCTTTGACTTCCTCCACATCGTCCGACACCTCCTCCTGAACCTGTAGTGCGTCCTCAGCTGACAGAAGCCAAGTCAAAACTTCCTCCAATGTAGTCTGGTAGCTGTCAAGGTCCACCTCCAGCAGGCTGCCCTCCATGTCTCCCTCGGTCAGAGCACTGGGGCTCTCAGGCCGTGGGCTGCTACCTGCCTTCTCCATCTGCACATTCTGAGAAACATCCAATGAGGAGAAATCACATGAGTGGACAGAAATTAAGGCCATGCATATTGAACATTTCTTAGCATCTTTGACAGAATGGACCTAGAGCGAAAGAGCAACATAGTTACTCAAAAGTGAGTCAAATCTACTGCAGAAACAATATTTGAGTCCCCTCAGTCCCATTAGAACTCATATACAAATCAAAAGCAGAACTAAGAGCTCCAAGAAAAACTATGTTTTTGGCCAAAGAATAGGCCCTCCAACTCCTATAAATTCTTAGTTTAATCTTTGTACATCATCTGCTAAGTTCTAAAATGAATCCTGGTATCCAGGAGTGGGCTGTATAGCTTTGAGGCATGCAAAAAAAAAAAAAACAACTTCAAGCTTATTATGGGATGCTGGGAGGTGCCCCTGGCACGCTAGGCAGGTCATTCCTAATTTTAGGAGGAGCAGAAAGTTGGAAACACAGCTGCATCCAGGATAAATCTGAATGTGTGTTTGGGGAAATGGATGGAAGAGTCTAAAAATAGCAGGACATGAATAGTTGAGAAAAAAAATTGGGGAGACGCACAGCGTGTGTCGAACTAACTTAACAGAACTCTAATTTTAAAGACTAAAAAACAAGTTTCCTTCAGTTTAAATTTTAAAGAATATCACTACCTTAAAGAAAAAAAACCTCCAGACATGGGTATGAACATGCTTCAGGTCTTAATAAATAAAATACAAAAATAAAATAAATGTATTCTATGAATATGTCTAAGTTATCAAACACAACAGGAGCACTGCCCTATGCTGAACTGGCAAACCACCCCAGGTTTCTCATTTTGAAGGGCTAATGCAAGGGAAATCTTGACAGAGCACAACTAATCTGTCTGGAGCTGAAGTGGGGTAAATCTCTGCAGCGGCAGCCAAGTCAAGTCAAAGCTGACAGCAATGCTAATGTGCATGTGCTGTGCAGAGGCTAGTACAGCAACAAGTTAAGCTGGCCTGTGATTTACATCCTGAAGTTACACCAATCCTGAAATATATAGATACAACAAGTTATAAAAGTACTGGAAACACCTAAATTACGGCAGCGTGTCCTGTCAGGGAGAGAAATAAAGACAAAAGACGGAGAAAAATACTTTTCCTGCCTATTGACCTAAATGGGGTGTCTCAACAGAACCTTTTTGGTGTTAGGTGTTGATGGATTTGCATTTTATCACTTATCAAACCTGAAGTGGTGATAACACTGAAAGCAATCGTTGTTTGGAATCGACTGTCAAACACCAAAATATCATTACAAGCCAATGTTGTGAATCTAAAACTAAAACACAGTCGTCAAGACAAAGGGTCTTTCTTATTCCTGCACTTAGTTTTCCTACCAGCAGCATTACGCATCACTTCCTACGAGGGAGTGAAAATGTGCCAGGAAAAAAAAAAAACCTCTTGCTGGACCAATCAGAGCACAATTTCAAAAAGGTTTTCCAACATCCATTCCAGGGCATGTGAAATATTTGCCCATGGGTAATAAAAACTTAAGAGGTGGTTTTGGGAACTTTTTCACCTCTGGGTAAAAACTTCTAAAATAAGGAGCTCCCTAAGCTGCATGCGATCAAAAGGCATAGCAGGGCGGGAGGGGCTCCAAAGCTTACGAAAATGAAGTACGCATATGGTAATTTGATCGAGCTGGGTTTATTTAGTCCCATTTCCTTTCTCAACTTTAATACTTGAATATCTGAATTGCTCTGATTACAGGCACAACCTTATTCTCACGTATCCATTTCTCCATTTCCCTTCATCCACTTACAAGGGGGTGTTTAAAACATTCAGCTCGGCCTGTTGAATAATGTCAGAGGGGTGAGTCATGGCTCTGCTCCCAATTTGCCCATGCCTGCTGCGCTTTTCATGAGCATGGTTGGAGAGAATGAAGGAGTCTGCTTTTTTTTTTCTGAGTGGGAGTGACTCATTCTGTCCGGCAACGCAAAAGCTACAGTGCACATAGTGATGCATGTGGCCTTCACACCGAATTCACTTAGAAACAAAGCACAGCAGGAAAACTTAAAGGAGAAATCTGTTCTTTTTGCAACCTTGCAACTTTTGCACTGTTTAAAAAGTTGGACTATCTCTAATCCAGTCATAGCAAAAATGTCAGTTTGCCAACATCAGCATGCCCCAAGGGAATCATGCAGACCATCCCTGGGGGGATAAATAACAGTTACTTGACTTGTGCGTAATGACCGTATTCGATCAGGATCTGTGATCTCCCCCCTCACATCAGTCTTGACAGTCACGGCTGCTCCCACAAACGTTGGTGGTATTTTTTCAGTCTGACTGATGAGCTGCCATTACCACCTCATTGTGCAGCACTTTATAATTCTCATTCTTTATGTTTGTTCCGAAAAAATGCTGCATCCATCTGTGTTCCAGCTACGGATTTTTTAAATCCTTTTGATCATAAAACGACACCTGTAAGCATGATGGTCCTGAGATCTTTACTAAATCCTGCTCAAGCTCCAAATCGCATGAAGGAAGATCTGCACAGAACTTTTACCTGCATGCTGAGCCCCGGACCCGAGCCCTCAGCGTCCACTTTGTATTTACGAGGCAGGGTCTCCACTTCCCTGATGGCCTCCATGCTCACGTCTTTGGGCAGCACGGCGAAAAGCGAGGTTACGTACATGATGATGGACTTTTTATCTGGTAACTGCACCGCCACATCTGAGACAGAGAAGGCAAGACAGTGGGTGGCGGATGGATGCAGGGCAGGAAGATTAAGATACAAATTGAGTAGGGGAGGCAGGACGAAGCAGGAGGAGTGAAGACGTTCAAATTACACAAGGAGCAAAGAAGCCGGAAAAGAAAATAGTTAAGTTTGACCAGAGATTAGACGGTTGTGGAAGGTGAAAGGGGACAAAAAGCAGGTTGAGGCAGGTAGTAACTGAACAAGGCTCTACTACAGATGATGTCTAACTCACCTTGAATCTTTAGATAACTCATGTCTTAACATACACACAGCTTTTGACAGATGATGAATACTTTTGTTTTTCTCCAATGGTTTTAAAAACAGGGTGCCATGGAGTGTTATCATAAGTGTTGACAATACATTGGTTTTCGTCCATTTTAACTGCTAAATTGACTACTTTCCATTGTCTATTAAAAGCAGCTGAATAAAACCAAAAACACTACCTTCAGGGTCCAGGAGCCTTTCAATTGCAAGCTGGTCTTTGGCTATAGAGAATGCATGGTCGAGTCTCTCTACGGGGCTCAGTGTGACCACCTTATCCCAGCTGAATGCATCTGGCCTGAAGTCACAAAAAGAAAGGAAGCAATAGTGAGAAAGTTTTACACACAGAGAATCTAAGTATTCCAATCGTCTTTCCACTGTCAGAATATATCTACCTCTGAATGTTCCAACTATCTACATGCAGCGTAAGCTGTGTACAGAGAAGACTCTGCCCTGAGCAGCGCCGGAGGGACGTGCGTTGTGGCCAGTTGGTTGTGGAATGTGTGTGTTCATTGATCCATCTAAACCCCAGGCCCAAGTCTAAACCAACACAGGCCTTTCTCACAACTCACATGAGTGTGTGTGTCTGTTTTGATGCCACCACTAAGGACAAGGGGTTACATAAAGGGGGGAAACACCCCAGCACCCGTCTCTGTCTCTGTCTTTCACACATACACAAACATGAGCAAACAGTGACATGGCAGGTCTAAACAGAGCAAGTCAACCAGTGTACACAAACACACACTGCAGACGCTGCCCTGTAGACACGACATTCCGCCACATTTAGAGCTTTTCTATCAAACACAGACCCACAGGGTTTCATAAAGCTCCAGGATCTGCCGGTTTACTTCTTACCTGAAGTGGTGAAGGATGCCGTTGAGCGCCAGGCCGTCAGCCCAGCTCGTTGTGAAATTAAGCACGTTGACTTCTGGGTACGAGCTTGTGCACTGCCGAACCCAACTCAGCAAGATCTTTTCACTGTTGGTCTGCTGCAGATTGGACATGATGTCCTTCATGATGTCTTTCACCTACAGCAACAAAGAGACCCTTTTTTAAAACAGGACTCCAGCCCCTTTGTGCTGCTAGGAAACATCTGGCAATTTGGAACGTATAAATCAGGTATTCCCATAGCTGGGGTGTTAAATGATCTATTCTATTCAGCCCCACAGTGGACACAGGCACAAATGCGTGTAATAGAACAGCAGAGAGAAACTGGTAGCATGCACATACACACAATACAACAAAACAGCAGACCTCCAAACACATATTTAGCCCATTATGACCTGGACCAACAGGTGCATCCTTTTACCCATGGAGCCTAGAGTATCATACGGGCCATATCCACAGGTTATTCGTTTTCAAAAATAAATGCGTAGAACATTTTTTGCTTCATCTTTCTCGTTTCGTCAGAGAGTGAGAAATAAATGTTCTTTGTGGTAGGTTCAGCCACAGGCTGGATTATGTGACTTTTGGTACAATACGGTGATGACAGTGATATTAACGCACACCAACAACAATAAAAAGATCAATGACAAAGCTATTTTTTTCTCAAGTGTCAAGACCCCTCTGATAGAACTTCCTGACTAACTGTGTCCGACAGCTGTTCAGCATTTCAACAGGTCCAGCTGACAAAGAGTTGGATGACTAGCATGTTTACAACCATTCACGCATGTGTGCACATCCACAGAGTTTCCATCGTCTGTTTCCCAGGTCCTACTGGGACATCAGTGGCCTGTGAGTTAGCAAAGCAAACATTAATGAGTGTGCTCACAAAGTGCTCACCTGCCAGTGAAGGATGATACTCCAGATGAGGCCCAATGTCAACTTGTGGTTTCCATCCACGATATCTGTTCCGCCTATGTTTACCAAATCCACCTAACAGAAAAGGAAAAAAATGACTGTACTCTTTCCGGTGAGACCAGCGAAGTGAGTGTGTCTTCTCTTCTTTATGTGAAGTGAAGCCAAGACTGAAATGATTACATATAAATAATCCAGAGGATAAGAGCACAGAGTGGAACAGGAGATCAAAGCTTTGGTCTAAAAACAGTGAGGTGACTTCTTTTATAAAGAAGTGACTATTGACCCATCTTCCACTCCAGTTATGTTCCATTATGATCACTGTCTTTCGGTTTCTGTTTTTATCTCCAGAAAAAGCATGAGACACATGCATAGATGCGGGCCTCGTTCATAGGTCAGCAATATTTTATGTTTACAAAAAGGAAACAAATGCATTTGAAATGAAAGAAGAGAACTTATTGTAAGGAGGAAAAAATACTTCTATTTTTACTTTTCTATTTTTATATCAGCAACATCCAAGGCCTCATTTAACTTTCTTTCCAGTGAGATGGCTCATGGGAACTGGAAGCCAGATGGCAGCTTTTTTACTCCAGCCTCTGCTACTTCCCATGAGTTTGCCCTTCCCCTTATGTCAGCAAAGGTTAGAAAGGAGGAGGTGATGGAGTGACAAGACGGCACTCCAACATTAAAAAAGCACGGGACAATATGAAATGTATGTCTTGGCAACAGTATAAATAAAAATATCTCTTTTTCTTCCCTGTTTGGTTACAGAATGCAACCAACAGGGTTCTGCCTATATTATACCGGCCCAATAGCAACAGATGGAGAAGTTTCAGCATCCTCCATGCAGCAGCTGATGGGACACAAACACAAAGAAAGAGAGCTGAAAAGAACAGGTTTACTCACATTATTTTGATGCAAGACTTGAAGCACTTTGTTGACATTGTTGAGGGAGTGCACTCTGGTGGAGCCACGCTCTTTGGTCTGAGGAAGAGGAAATGTGGCAGTGATCAGCTGGCAGCTTGCTAACAGTTGTAAAACTAAACATAAGGCGATAAGAGTCAGCCGTGCCGGCTACGGTTTGCTTTGGCACTTCACTCAGTTCTCTGTGATAGTTTCTTCAGATGGAGATCGACTTAGTCAAATTATAAGACATCCTCCTGAAATTACCCTGAATTTTAGGTTTAAAAAAAAAAAAGGAAAGTGAAATTTCAGGCTACACTGCTACAGAAAGGAAAAGTATGCCATCACTCATCATAGTGTTTCACACCCTACATTCATCCCAGCCATTACCCTATCAGCAGGGTCCACAGGCCAACTTATGGAAAGAATGGCACGGTGAATAGCTGCCAGCTGAAAATCCCTTTTAAGTCTTCACATACCTCAAGCACTCATTAGCACCCAATTATAGCATTAGTGTGCCGTTACAGAGTGTGGGTCCATGTGTGTGCCAGCATATATGGCACAGAGACAGTTGGCACTTGGCTTGACTGCAGGTGCAAGAAAGACGATATGTTGTTGATGAGGAGAAAGGGATGGCACCAGTAAAATAAAAAAAGGAACAACCATTCAAATGAATGGGCAAGCTCATCATTGCTTTCGAATACATACTCACACACACACGGGGAATTGTCATCAGCTGAGCAGGAACTGAATATTGTGTGAGCTGTCCATTTCTTTACCAACTCTTTCTTTCAAAACATTACATGACCAAATACGGCAAACGTATAATTTCATAACAGCTGGACAATAACAATGCCAACAATCGGCTGAGCACATGTCATGTACTGGTACCTGTGGTGAGGATGCAAACGCTGTGATCCAGAATAAATTCCACACATTGACCATGTTCCCACTCTCGCTTGAAATCAATGTTGTAAATTTTCTAGTAGTTATAGTTTTAAGAGTTGTATCACTCAATACTGCAATATTTAATAATTCAACTAATTTCATGGTATTCTGGTGTAAAATTGCTGGTAAAATAATAACTTGATGATCAAAACAAACTGTATTTTGAGAGGAGAAACTCACCAGGGCAGTGTCAGTAAGACCCTCCAGCAGGTCAAGCAGCTTCCTGCCATCCCTGAGGTCAGAGAACATATCTTTGATGGGCACCTTGCCTGTCTGAGGGGACAAAGGGTGGGTTCAATTTAGCATTAAAATCAATCAGAATAGTAACAGAAAGGTGTTGAGTGGAGCAATCACTTAATCTGCCAAATAACATCTGGGCAGGAAGCTGTTGTCACCAAGATGAAATTAGTATGTTCACAGATTCTGTTTCTAAAACAGCAGTTTAAAGTTAGCCTCATGTCGCACAGAGGCAGATCAAAACAGATGCCACTGGGTGGTCTGAGGAGCACAAATATTCAAAACGGGGGGAAAACGTCCTGACATGTTATTATTTACAACCCTCATTCCAAAAAATGTGGAGGCAATGCAGGTAAAATGTAAATAAAAACAGAATACAATGATATGGTAAAGTCCTAAACACTTGTAAGGACATACATTTTATTCCAAGTAGAACACGAACACGCAACATGCTGAGAGTGAGACATTTCCATATTTCATGAAAATGTTTTAATAATTTTGAATTTGAAGGCAGCTGATGATCTCTGGGAAGTTGGGACAGGTTCCATGTTTGTCCCACTGTAGCATCTCCTCTGGAAAAACAATCTTTTTCTATACATAGGATTGCAGCTTCATTTGGAACAAGCAAAAAACTTGGTTGAAAGGAGCGTTTTTCACAGTACCTTGGAGAGTTGTGCATTTATCCATTTGGTGAACGTTTTCTTCTGTACTGCATCATGTTCATCTGTGAAAAGAAGAAAAGTGGACAATGAAGGTTCAATAAGTCGTAGGAAGGACGGCAAAAGAACTGCTAACACTAAAAGGCCATTTCGGTGCATTTATTTCAGGAACACACTTCACTTCACGACAAATTCACTCTCACACTGACATGCTGGTGAGTGGTAATTGTAGCTGGAGGCAATTACAGCTTAAAAGCATCCAGATCAATGTGGCTGGAACATCAGAAAATTACAGGAACAAAACGTAGACAAGGAAGACATTTTGATAATGTGCCGATAATGTCAGAAGGTGCATACTGGCAGAAGCGCAGACGTAAAGCTAACACACCAAACCCTTCTGCACATGTGAACACACACACACACACACACACACACACACACACACACACACCGTCCCATTTATATTGTTCCCCTAGAATCCAACTGTACACATAGTTCACATTCTCTTCCCACTTGATTCCCTCCCACCCTGCTCCTCCTTAATCTCCAGCGTGGCTCTCCAATAAGGCCTCATTGTGTGTCAGGCACAGGGTCAGCTGCTTTGATGTGCCTGAGTGATGGCTGGCTCCTGAAAGAGTAGCTGGTACCGAGCTTCAGCATCTTGGCAGAAAGTTCACTTTGGCCGTGCTTAAAAGGATCTAAATAGAAAACTAAATATACTGATGACTACGACAGTTTTGTTTTCCAACAAATATTTATCACGCTTAGCTTTCCAATGTTTTACAAACGGGAGCTAAAAATGAAAAGTGCCTCTGAGGATGCCTGTGAAGAGTCACTCACCAGGTAGAAGAAACTGTGCAGCACCACAGTATTGAGGAAAGCAGAAAAAAACATCACAGAAGTGGCCAGAAGCTGTCCACCTCTGCTTTCTTTGCATCTCACTTATTCTGTGTTAATCTGTTTTAGAGAAGTACTCCAGCAGTTAACGCAATCTTTTCCTACACAATACAACCGTGTCCATCTGAAATTGTAATGGAGGGGGGTAGAAAAGGGGTGCAAGTATGTGTCCATAAGCGTTAGACTGCCTCTAGCCTCCAACCAGAGGCTGGATGGAGAACCATGCCCTGAACCAAAGATCAAAGGTTATGATCACCAGCCTCAGCGGTCATCGGCTCCTTTTGTTTGGGGTGTGTGGAGTGTGTGTTTGCAGCCGCAGCCAGGGTGAAAAGGTCCATAAAAACAAGAATGTCCTGCAAGGTTAGGCCAGAGGACAGGGCAACCGAGGTGAGAAGGTGACAGAGGAGAGTAAGAGCAATGGTGGTGGCAGGTAGCAGAGGAACACACTATGTTTATGTAACCTGTCTAATCTCAACATTAGGCACTCGAGGGAGACATTTTATCTGTACCTCTTATGTTGCAAAGACAGGGAAAAAATGGATGAGCATGGAATAACAAAGAGAGGATGACAGGAGCTGGGACATGCAGAAGGACGACTGTAATGAGGAATTTTCTCAGTGGATACAAAATCAAACGGCACACGTTGCCTCGAGTAGAGGACACACCTTTCACTGAGCCTGTGTCTTATCTTATGAGCACTTTGATTCACAAAAGTGTACTTGGGCTGTATATGGAGTATGGTGCCATAACAAGAGGCTCTATGACTGATGGCTTTCAATCAAAGTGGATGAGTTGGAAGTCAAATGGTTAAACAAGGGCGACCAAGCAAAAGGGAAAAAAAGAGAGAAAGAGGTGGAGAAACAGAACAGCAAGAATATGTAGGAAACATGTGAGGAGCAAGAGGTGCAGTTCAGGTATGGTTCAGGTATGCTTTCAACACAATATCAATTATCTCCTCTGAAAAGCCCCATGTAAGAGCCCCCTGTCATTCCAGCTTTATCAGCACCCTGTTGAGGCCTCTGGGGGACCTGAGGAGAGGGTCCCTGTGGAGTCAGGTCTCCTGGATGCTCTACCTCACCGTCCAGCCAGGACAATAAAGCTCATTCATAACCAGCGTTCACCTCGGCTGCCGCTGCTGCTCTGCAGAGCACAGGAATGTCTCACTGCAGGACAGATCAAAGAGGCAGCAGCAGGGCCGTGTGTGTCAACGTGTGTCCCAGAACGTGTGCGCTTGACAGACGGTGAAAAAACACGTTTTTTTCCCCCCACAGACCCCTAAATGTCAGCCGTGAGCGTGTATATTGACTGGTGACAAAAAAAACACAACTTTAAAGGAGATGTAATGAGGCATCAAGCAAATTTGATTTGAGCCCGTCTGCGGACCATTTCTTCTGATATTACAGACATTAGAAGAAGCTCTGACTGGTGGGCAGAGGGGTTGCTCTGGATGACAAAACAACCACTTTAGTATCAATTATAGCTGATGACTCCGAGGCATTGTGTTAAGTGAGAAAAACAAATCCATTTCAGGGGTTTTTCTTTTTAATTATTCCCTTTAGTTTGTGTCACGCCCTTCCCAAATGGAAAAGACAACACACTGTACAATTCCAGGATGATTTATTCTAAATCAGGCAGGCAGATGAGTGACCAGAGAAAATGCTCATATCAAAATGTGGATTCATTTTTCTCCTTTTTCTTGTGTGTTCATTATGACCAAGAAGTCTATTCCTACGGATTACTTAGTGTTTGATTCCAAAGTGGATAAAGGAGCTCTTTTTTATTTTTTCATAGTACTATAACTGAATATGACACCCTGCTAACGAGTAAAAATCTTTCCCAGGTCTTGTTATTGTCTACTCATAAGGTCTAATAATGCTGGCAAGGTTTCCCTGGAAAAGCAGTCTTAATGGGTCACTTGGTCATATGATAGTGATATCCCGTCAGCCCGCTGAGTACAGATGGACAGACTGCTACCAGAACAGTGAGGCAAGAGGCACCAGCATGAACAAATATTCAACTCTGGTCAAACGGTCATTCTGCAGGCTTCAGATAACCAAATAAAACACATGCACTCACTGGTTTCAGCTAGTGTGCACTTTGTACACACAGAGCAGCCATCTGAAGTCAATGAACTTAAAGGTAAGTATCTGTTTTGTGATCTCTCAAACTGAAAGTAGTGATTACATCATGAACAGTCCACACATGTTCTTAATATATTACATGAATGTGCATGTTCACTCCCACCCTAAGGATTTCCACGCCATTACAAAGCCAAATGTTTCACCTCTTTTTATTGCTTATTACACTATTGTAAGAGGAAAAATTACTCAAAGAAAATAACCCATATAGGAAATGGATTAAATAGAATGCAAACAAATAAACGCACTAATCCACACAAATGTTTCATTCCTCTGACATGGTGTAGGCCCACGTTGAATAACCAAACGTTGACCATAAGAGAAGCAAGAGGGGGGAAAAATCATGGACGCACATATGTTTCTCTCCCAGCTGAGAACACAGAGCAGACTCGTAAAAGATTACAGCCCCCGCCCCCACCCCCTCCTCACAGGTGGAGGGCCGGTGACCACACAGCAGGGAGAAGGGGGAGATCAGTGGAAGGCAAGGAGGTGAAAATCAAACAAACCCTCACGGTTTCCACGACAGCATCACACAGAAGAGCACACACAGTAATCATGAGAGCTCAGCGCCCACACAAAAAGGATATTTACAAAGGTGTTTGCATCAGTGAACACATATCATTTCAGGGTCAGTCTGCCTTTACAGGGACATTTGAACTCCTATCTAAAACATCCCCTCTAAGTTTTACATTCAGGCATCATGTCCGGTTATTGGGTGCACACTGACAGCACAGCAGTAAAGCTGAGAACTGTTGAAAAGTTCTGCCTCATAACAAAAAAAAACCTTTCTGAATAACTAATAGCTGTCTTAAAAAATAACAAGTTTCAGTGAATGCATGACACCTCAGTGTGCTTCCTTAAACTCCAGTAAAGCTCTGCCCACACCAGAACGTAAGCTTCTAATCTGTATGGGACATGCACATATTCCTCACAGACATAGGTTGTCATATCAACCAATGTCCCTCGTCAAACATACATGTTAAGTTTCCAAAAAGAAAAGAGATGACGGTTAAACAGTGCCACTTTAATTCTATTCCGTTTGTGTGCACATATGTGCATTATTTGGACTCTGCAGGTTGAAAGGAATGCATAGCATTCCTATAATTTCCCATTCATGCCTCCCTCCTACTTTAAGCGGTCACTTGTCTAAGCTTGTCCCAGCCGGCACAGCTTTGTTGACACTGTTCCCTCGCCGTGATCTGAGAATTTGTAGGAAAAACACTCCGAACGTCCAGAGAGATTAACACATATCCCCACTTACCATCTTCAAAACACCCCTGTGGTCTACGTAGGTGCTTGAATTGCTATAATTAGGGGTGAATGAAAACAGTGAGGTGAAGCTGCTGGAATCTGGTAAAGTTGGAGACGGCTGAAAAGCTGTGCGCAACAAGCCAGGTCACTCCAAATATCATACCCAACCATCCAAGGTGGAAAAGACAAAGATGTGTGCCGAAGGTGCTTTGGCATGCAGGCTTGCATTTCGGTAACCATTACCACATCTTTTTACATGTCTCTCTACTGGGGCTTCTTGAACCTTTATATGAGAGATTTCAAAACGATACAAAAGTGTCTCCTAAGCTAAAATCCAATCCTGATGCCTGTATAGCTGTTTGTGCATTCACCAAGAAGCTGGACAAAGCAAAAAGCCTGCTCCACATTCCATCCAATGATGTTAAAAAAAAATTTAAAAACTTTCATCAACTGAATAAGACCACCACAAGTTCTTATCTGCCTCCCAACATATGCAGTTTGAGACATTCCAAAGGTACACCGAGTGGGCACCAATTCACAAACCTGTGAAAAGTTCCTACCTCTGAGTTTGACCCGAAGCTCTGCCATCTTTTACCATTACCCGGCACAATGCTTAACAGAGGAAGCAGTAAAAAAAACTCAATAAAGGACGAGGCAATAATCCAAGCGTGTCACCGCAAAACAGGCTTTACTGCTCCAGCCTTCCTATCTTTCTTTCTCCGCAGCCTCTTTTCCTTCTTGACCAGATAGGGAAGAAAAGATCAGAAAAACGCAACAGCAGAGGGAGCTGGGAGGGAAAGAGGGACACCATCGCTGAAAGGAAAAGCGATTGGAGCTGAGCAGAACAGGACAGAGCAAGCCAAGAGTGGGGAGTCATACTGCATCGTGGGAGATGGGGTGTGCAAAGATAAACAGTTTGGCACCATCTCAACATTCACTGCCATCACAAGATGAGGAACGGAGACAAAGAAGGGCGCTATCAGCCACAGATGGGTAAACAATTACACACAACGCAGGATGATAGAGGGGTGCCGATGTGTTGGGGCAGAGGTAATAACTTTCAGCAAAGCCTTTAAAGGTAATCTGCTGAAGAGAAAAAGTTTGAGCAAAGCTCTCCAACTTCAACCCAACAAAGAGGGAAAGCAACATTAAGATGTAAGGTCACAAAAAACCAGCAGCCCTACATGTACTGTAGAGGGGTGTTTTACTCTGAGCTCCATCCGCATCACTGAGCAGAGGCAAAAAACTAAAAATACAGTCCAGATGCATGGTGTCCACACAGAAACTATTTATCTCACATTCACGTGACTTTTTGCTTTTGTAGAATTGACTGCATTGTGTAAAATAAAGAAAAAAAACGCGGCTTGGAAAAAAAAAAAGTCCAGCGTGCAATGATGCTTGACATTCAGATAAACACCCAGCATGCAGAGCTAAAACAAAAAAGCAGAGCAGAAAGGTCAGGCATGTAAACGCTGGATGCAGTGAAGCCGGGGGCTGATCAGCCACAGGTTTGCTGCTGAAGGCGCAGTAACAGTGGAACAAAAAAAACCTTCATTCTGCCTTTTAAGAAAGTGGAGGCATCCTTACCCAGGTCCTGGCTGTACTCCTGCTTTTCTTTCCTTCTGAAGAAATTCCGCCTTCTCCACGACATCCATTTACTCATATTCATGACAGAAAGCCAGCCTTTTAAACAATGAGCAGAGAAAAAGCAAGACAGAAATAAAGACGGCTACAAATCCGGAACAGGAAGAGAAGGTGGTGGTAGTGGGAGAACAAGAGTGACACAGAAAAGAGAAAGAGGAAGTAGAGGTATGAATGCATTCATCAAGTAAACTGGGTGGGTTTATTTGGGGAGCAGGGCCGGTCTCCCGAGTGTGACATCACACACACACACACACATACTAACATGCTTCCTCACATCCTGACAGCGAGGTGAGAAGAGTGTGTGACAAAAACCGGGACAGGGTTTTGGGCTCGTCAATTTATAGATAAGTGACAGGTGACGGATGTTTGCTTTGTAGCTGACAGACGATTGTTTCAGGAAGCCGCGGCTTCTCTTTCCCCCCACGTGTCAGCAAACGGCAGCAGGTGAACCCCACCTCCGGTGACCCTCACGTGCACCCACAACAGCAAGCGGCTTTGAACGTGTCTTGGTCAGAGGGAAAGCTGCGAGGCTTAAAAAAAGGGGCGCACTGTGACCGGTCCTGCTGCAGTGGAACAGAGAGTCCATCTGCTCATTGATGTGTTCAGTCGATGAGGAACAACCGCACAAAATGTCCTATTCCCCCACAGAGAGGCTGAAAAACAACATTTATTTTTCCCCCATCTTTTTTCTTCTTCTTTTTTGTTCTGAATAAAGGGAGCAAAAAAAAGGAATATTAGGGCCGACCTCCTGGATCAGAATGACGAAAATCCCCTTTCCTCCACCTAAGAGTTGAAGCAGCTCTTCTGGTTATAACTATGAGAGACTGACTGATTTGGGTGAGGCTGCTATTGGCAGCAGCTGAAGGAAACAAATGCTGAAGGGACCATTCCCTTACCCTTTACTCTTCCTCTAGTGTGGTGAACATGAGCAAAAATCTTCTCAATCAAAAGCTCAAAGACGACCACAGGACTGTTTCTGCAGATTTCTGCTTGGAGAAATGCTCCAAACTGATAAGGCTGAGGCTGGTTCCAGTCTCAAATAAGAAACTTTGAAACACAGAAGGCAGATATACTCTCAGCAGGGATGGATCCCATTTTAAATGAGGGAGGTTACCACCTCTCAGCCCAGGCACAGCTTTGGTCTGGGATAGCTTCAAGTCTTTCCACCAGCAACACGATCCCGTGTAAAATCACGCCACTGCATCCCCGACCCTGATGCCATTACGCTGTCACCTTCCTCTCTGTTTCTGATCAATACGTTGTAGTGAGATCATTAAATGACTGTTGTTACATTAACAGCACTTTGATTGAAAAAGAGCACATGGAGCGAGTAGCTAACCCTCTCATTGTAAACCAACTGAAAACTGGAAGAGGGAAACTTACACAGAATAGGGGGCTGGTCTGTGTGTGTTTGACAGCTATGTGTTTGACATTCAAGCCTGATCATTTTATGCTATTTCCAACCCTCTTCTGAGGAGTTTAAATGTCATCTGTGTTGGGTGGAGTGACTGCTCAGCGCTTGCACGTGGACTGAAGAGGCACAGTCCCACAGACTACCACACCCAGGGGAAATGTTTTGGCCCGAGCCTCCATTCCCAAATTTCCAACAAGGATTTTGCAGAGCTGGTTTCCTCCCACTTCGCAGGCACTCGCATTCGGCAACAAGCACAGAGACAGAGGCACAGCACTTGTGTGCCTGTGCATGTGTAGCCTTAGGAACACACTGAGTTCCCTGTAAAAATGTATCTCTCAAAGTTTAAAACTCTCATTGGCCCACAGAGAAAAGTAAGGTTTAAGCCAGAGGCAAGGACAAAAAAAAAACAAAAAAAACAACAACAACAAAAATTCAGGTCATTGCTTTGCATCAATGGGCGGCAACAGTGAAAGCTTCTTTGTTTTGACTTGTGTTCCTTCCGTGCTGCCCACACGAACAAACGCACGCCCATGGTTAAGAGTCTGCATAGCAGTTTTACCAATGTATCCTCTACTGTACTGTACTGCCAGATGATATTACTCTTGAAAGCCCTAATGTTTCAAAACGTTTACTTCGTCCATCTCCTTTCCCCCCACAGCAGCTGCAATACCCTCTGCACCCTGCCTCAGACCGAGGCGTGAATGAGGAAACTGTGACATGCAGCTGAGCTTGTAGGGTGACAAGTCACACCCTCCACACCCTGAGTTTGGTTAATCATATTCTTGTGCTTTCTCATCTGTAGAAAACAACAATGCTTCTGACATCATACTGCATGTCACACCCAAGGTGTAACCAGATGGTCCGATCTCAGCCGGTGGAGTTGCCGGCCAAGCATCTCATCTGGAGAAGGCCATTCCTTCTCCGTCTAGTCCTCTCAGATTTGATAAGTACAAGGCAAAAAAAAAAAAACACTTTCAAACTAAAAGAGAACCAGTAGACCAAATCGACATATCAATTCTTTTTTATGTTAATCTCTCTTCTATTGTAGATTGTCAGACAAATAATGTCTCCTCTGACATTTTTTATTTTGTTCCCCTATGTTCCCAAATGCTAAAGACTAAAACTTTACGGCTCCTCCCCCACATACTCTTGACCCATTCAGGTAACCATAGCTGCATTAGTTTTTCAGGAGGCTGTTACAGAGCAGAGCTCTAACTGGCAAATAAAGTGTCTGTGTGTGTCTGTGTGTGTGTGTGTGTGTGTGTGTGTGTGT